TGGCGCCGGAACCACTTTAAACGTTTTGTTTAAAGAGATTGTGACTGTCCACAGCAATAAAATAATCAGCATTGTTTAAGGTATTCTCAGTTCTCTCAAACTATACATACTGGTAGAAATTTCGAATTCTCATTAAAGGGGAAAACTTTATATTTATAAAGCAATGATGTGGCCAGTGTATCCATATGGTCACGCCGGCATTAGTCTTCTGAGCAAATGCTCCTTTGGGCTAATAAAATTATTTACATGTTAATTTAGCAGCATCAAAGCCAAGAAGACTGCGCTTTCAAAGTTAATAGTTAGAGAAGGTAGCGTTACGCTGGCTTAAATTGCGTTCTGCACTTCCCGAAAATTCAAGTATTTTTTAACGTGGGATTTTACAAAAAAAGGATCGGACGTTAAGCTCAAAAACGATGCGACAGTGTTTATTTGGATTATCGTCTTCCATCCAGAGATATTTAAGGTAGTTTCTGTCACTTCAGAAGATACTAATTTAAACGAAAGAAAATTGCGCGCTATCATTAACAGACTGAAAGCAACTAACATTTTAGAAGCCTTGAAGTCATAGAAGTCTTACAAATGTGGTCGGAATGATCGAGAAACTGAAGGAAGATAATGTAATGACTCTTGGCAATATCAAGCTTAGTTAAGAATTCAACTATAACGAAAATTAAGCCTGTATTTGATGCCTCTACGCATACTAAAAACTCGGTACATCTGAATAAATGTCTGGCGAAATGTTCGAATCTCATTGAACACATTCCAGTGATACTAAATCGTTTCTGCATGAACGAATTTACTCTTACAATAGATATTAAGCAAGCTTTCTTACAAATTAGTATCTTCTGAAGTGACAGAAACTACCTTAAATATCTCTGGATGGAAGACGATAATCCAAATAAACACTGTCGCATCGTTTTTGGGTTTAACGTCCGGTCCTTTTTTGTAAAATCCCACGTTAAAAAATACTTGAATTTTATCCCAGACAAGACAATAATACTCGTGTGCTTGCAGGAAAACAATGATTAACGAACTCCTTAGACCATACCAAAGACTTTACTCTCTTGAAACTGAGGATAAGAAGAGACTTCTGCTTAGAAATAAATCACTTTCCGATGGAACAAAGAGTTCATAAACTCGTCTCTCTTGTGAAATGTTATCATTTTCACTAAAGACACAACGGAATCTCGAAATATGTCTGATAGTGTAATTCCTGAAAATGACCTTTCAGAACAGAACGTCTCATGTTAAGAACCAGATATGGACGAAGTGTGAAATCATTTCAAAGCCTAACTTCACCTCTTCTGATTCTGGTTGCATTCCTTCTTTAGATCGCAAAGGGGAGAAGGAATGCCATAACTCTCCATAATGCGAAATAAATACACTTGTAAGCAAAATTAAGAAAATTTGCAAATTATGAAGTTTTTACAAAAAGTATTGAACCAAAAGTACTAATTATGCCGCCGAAGAATTATGCAAATATTCAGAGTCAAATACTTAAGCGTACACTTGCGTGTCTATGGAACTCTGATTGTGGAGTGTATATAAGCGCGCGAAGAGTTTTCGACGATTTGTGTGTTCGTAATCTTTCATGACATTCAACGTGTTTCTCGCAAGATTTGGGGACATGCTGTAAGGTATCAGGTAAAATAGGCAGCCATGAACTTACGGATGACGAAATGAGGTGGAGAATTTTCTGTACATTAGAAGCAGGCCAGTCGCAAACGCAAGCAACTACACAGCTCACTGTAATGATCACTGCCGTTTGCAATTTGTGGAAGCAATTTCAGAATACTGCATTCATATCTAGAAAAGCAAGACAAAGTCGACCAAAATCTACAACGACGAATCAGGATCGTTATTTGGCCCTTTCAGCGTGGCGACACACGACTGGGACAGCTTCAGAGCTCTCTTGTGGGCTATATGCTTCTTCTGGAAACCAAGTGTCGTAGTTTACCCGAAGGCTTCATGAGGTAGGGCTGTATGCCAGAAGACATGCTGTTTTCACTGACTGTTGTTGCTCACTGCAGCACACACTACAGCGCGTTTAGCATTTGCGCCTTGGACCGGACTTCAGCGGAACACTGTGATTATGATTCGAGATTCGTAGCCCGGACGGTATAGTAGTTATGGGATCCTGACTGCAATACCGAAGGGCCCGTGTTCGAATTCCGGAGAAAGCGTGGATGTAAAAATTGTCTGTCCCTTCTTAGGAGGTAATGGTGGCCGGCTATTAGGTGCATCCACAATAAAATGGACGCCACTTCTGGCCTAAGTAGTGGCCACTGTCGTTGTAGGTAAGTGGAGAAAAAAAAATGATTTGAGATTCAGCCTGGATATTAATTCTTGGTGTACCTGTATTTGGAAAAAACCTGGAACTCTATGCCATTCCTCCTCCGTCAAGGATCATTATGGTGGTGTAGGCATTATGTTGGACGGCAGCATACTTCTACATGTGCTTGACAAAGGTTCCCCTGATTGCTATGAGGTATACAGAAGATATCTTAGAATCTTATGTTCTACATTTTAGGGGCGCAGTTAGTCCAGAATTCCTGTAAATGACGACAACTCTCATCCCCACAGGTCTCATCTGGTCGTCTATTACCTGGCAAGTGAGGATATTCGCCGTATTATTGGGCAGCCAGATCTTAACCCTCTAGAGCATTTGCGGGACAGTGTTGGGATCATTCCCCTCCGAGATCTCCCAGGGTGAAGACTGTTTTGCTGCAGGGGTGGAATCAGAGATTCTTCAAATGTCTCCTGTAGAATCTGCCGTCACTCTGCGTGACCTATCTGCCGAGGAGCATACTCCATAGACTCATTTTCAGTTCAGTATCACAACGTGATTTTGGACATCTCTGTACTGTGAGCTTGAACTTTACTGATAATCATGTGTATATAAAATGACTTCTTAATGGTATATCTCTTTCTGCGTTATAAATGTACTTGGATCGTACAGAAAATGATTCACACAACAGCTCTCACAACGAAACTATTACACTATGCGATTGGAAAACAAGTGAAAATAGACACAAGAGGGCGTTAGCTACTAAGAATGCATAGATGGCTCTGGCCGCAAGAGAACGGTATAAGTCAGCGCCCGTCCTTCTTGCCGTCGTCATTGAGAGCGTAGACAGCAATTATGGAAGGTGACTATCACTGTCAGCGTGGTTCCTATTGAAGGAAGGAATACAGGGTAGTGAGATCCATCGTCGCATGGTGTCGGTGTGCGGGAGCAAAGCACCTTCAAGACCTACTGTATCCTCTTGGTTGGCCAAGTTCAGCAGTGGATTGGAGACCGCACCCAAAGGTGTCAGCGCGGGACGACTAGCAACATCTCGTGCAGCAGCAAATGTGGCAGCCATCTCGGATTTGATCATGACGAACAGGCGCATAACGTTCAACAAGATGCAGGAAGAAACAGGGCTTGAGCGAAGAATATTACAGGTGATTGTGCTTGGTGATTTGGAGATGACAAATGTGTGCGCAAAGCGGGTGCCTCATGCACTCACATCACAATGAAAGGCGAAGCGCGTCAGAATTTCTTGCACTACACGATGCAGATTCGGATGACTTCTTCATCCGCCTGATCACGGGGGACTAGCTTTGGATTTGCAAGACACTCCCGAAAAAATACAGCTCCATGGGGTGGAAGGATGCATCAAGCCCACATCCCAAAAACGCCTGGGCTGGTGTTAAACACACTGTTGGATGTCCAGGGCATTCTTCTCGTGAAGTGGTCAGAGCCTGGGTGCACCATCAACAGCGATCGGTACTGTGAGTTGCCAGAACCCTGCGACGGCGCATTCGACAGGGCTGTCCGGGCAAACGGGCACGGCATGTGTTTTGCAACACGTCCTCACACCAGCCAGAACACACGCGATAATCACGAGGCATTAGGCTTCACTGTGTTGCCAGATCCTCCATACTCGCCCGATCTGGCCCCCTCGGACTACACCTTGCTTGAAAAGATGAAGGACGCAGTCAGGGGCCAACATCGAATTGCATGCAATTATCCGTAGGTGCTGCATCCAACACCCCCACAGATTGGTTTACCAAAGTCCTTCGGGACCTCAGTGAGATGGCAGAAGTGTATTGACTAGGGTTGGGATTATTTCTAACTGATGCACTATCCGTGTTTTGTTAATACATTTTATTCCGCTCTGTGGCAGCATGTGCGTCATTCATTCCTATACGACCTTAATATGTTTGTACCAAAAATTTCATTAAAAATCTGTCCGTTAGTCGTCCAGAAATTCGACATTATGTACAAATTCTCTCCACAAGTGCACATCCTGTTGAAATTCAAGCATGTGCACGCCCAGAGATTTTTGTGACTCAGCTTCTGACCTTTCGCTTTTTTATTTATTTAGTATTCTGTTAATTTGAGTTCTGAGTGTCTATTCATTGAATAAATCTGTGTTTCTTTCTCACCCGTTTAACTGTGGTATTTATTGAATTTCAGAAAACTTCAGCTCACCAGCGTCAATCTTTCCGGACTGCGCGAAAGATTAATGTATGGGATTTGCCTAATTTAAGCTGCAAAACTGAGGGATGCCGAATTATTTAGAATTTAGGGAAGTCACTGGGAAACCTTATCCATAACATGTTACTGATACCAGGAAAACATAATACGTAAATTAATATTTTGAAAGTTTCACGCCCAATAGAAACTAATGAAACCCACTCTTTGACTGCATGTGGGTCGGGCAGTCTCTGCAAATTTTTTTCTTCATGATTAACAACCTTACAACCAACTTACTTGTTGCTGTGCACTTCCTTCAGTTTTGCTTCTTCTGGTCAGACGTGCCTGTGCGGGAACAACTTGGATCTTCCATGCCCCGCGAACAGAAATGTTTGTATGCATTTGTGTTGCAGCGAAAAAAGTTAATCAATGACAACTGTCCATTGTTAAAACTACTATTAAAATAAGTGAATTAAAATAAGTGTATTTTTTCTGGGATATTTATTTCCGATTTCCGGTGGTATGAAACGCTTCATTAAATTTTGACTTTGGCAACGTGTTAGCAGAAGATGTCTGCTATCGTTGACAAGAATAACAGCAAATCGGAATGTTTCAGTGAATCCACATCTTCATCTAATAGTAGATACGCGCTGTACCTATTTAGTAACAATAAGTAAGAGTTAAAGACCTTAATTATTGGCAATGTTAATTAGGAAAGAGTTCCTTTCACTTGAATGCGCCTAACCGGCCAACCTCTGAAAGCTTTTACAGTGCTGTATAATTTACGTTCGATCCATTTATTATTTCTGAAATCGTTTAGCCGTAAGAATTCATTGGAATAAATACACTACATTCTTTCATTATTTCTCAGAACATCAGTAAAAGTTTGTACATTATAAAGACGTTTAGTGTAAACATGGTTACTTTATTTGTAGGCTCTTTAATTGAGATTTTTGTAATGTATGTAATTTACATTCCTCCCCTTTTTAGCAACATATGCGTAATAACTAACAAAAGAACAAGAAGTCAATAATATGTAGCTTTAAATTGCTTTGAAGTTACGTTATGGTTTGCACTATTTATAATATGTCTACTGAGCAGGATTGATGAAAATGAAATTAATTTTGTACATTTATGCGGACATTAAATAATTAAGAATATCTGTACTTTCAGTGGAGATTACGTTATACGATAATCTACGTGTTTAGTATTTATTTTTTTCTGCGCAAAAGTTGGAGTGATTTTCTGTATTTTTTAAAAATCATTTATTGTTTATCTGTTAATGATTTATTAATTTTTATGAAATTACGTAAAATTTTATAGCCAAAAAGTACTGATTGGGCATATTATTTTACTTTTAGACATGCTTCCACTTCAGATATAATATCTAAAGGTCAAGACTATGTGAACAATTCAAAACCTGATTGTGATGAGCCCAGTGTTTGGTATGTGATGCCATATTTTATTTTCCTCAACTCATTACTGCTGTATTTTAAGAGTAGATTATTTATCCTATTTACCCCATTTATAAGACCCATATTTTATTTGCTTATTTTTGGTTCTAAATTTTTGATAGGGTCTTATAATTAATATTATGATAAATTAAATTGCAGAATAAGATAAGGGATTTAATTTATAATTACGCAGTTTACATCCATTTGAACACTTGCATTTTCAATTTTGCTTGCATATATTGGTAACTGAATATTAGCGAAATGACTTATTTGTCTTTCTTTTGAAACTTTAATTATCTTTGTTAAAAACTTGCTTGTTTTGAGAAAGAGTTATTCAAAATAATATTTATCAAGAAAGAAAAGTATTTAGAAAATTCTGAAAATAAACTCAAGTATTTGGATGCTTTGGGCAGATATTTTATATGTAATAAAAACTTGAAAGTAATGGGACATTCAATATTTAGTTGAATATACTTTATTTAAAACAACACTTTTCATCTACTTTGGTATAAATTCAACATTTTTTTGGTTTGTTTGTGTGTGTTTCTGTGTAAGTATGTTTGATTTTGTTCCATTTCTCTTTATGAATTGCTTTTTTTTAGAGTTTTTGGTACTTACATATTGGTACTGTTGACACTGTTGACCCACCTAGTAGTGTGATTTACCTTCAATTATGGATGACTAATTTCTTTTAGAATTCTGCGGTAATGATTGGCAGTTAGTGACTGTTGCCAAAATTTCCAGCAACGGTTGATAGTTACATAAATACCGAGTTTTCAAAGAAATGCCACATTTCCTTATTCTTTTCTCAAATTCATTCTATAATTGTTCAATAGGATTTAAGTTAGAGGTGTTTTGATAACTTTATGGCAATTGTATGATAACTGCAAGTGTATACTTGGGGCTGTATGGTATTCATTGTTTTCATAGAACATGAGTATATTTTGCTTTCCAAATTTCTTGCTGATGCTTTGATTGTGAATGTTTATATATTAATACTGGTCCATATTATATTCTATAAAAACTAAATTTCTCATCCCAGAGGCAGCGGAACATCCCCATACAATTATGCTTCCACCCTCATGTTTAACAATAAGCAACATGTTTCTTGAATTTTTGGTTGATCTTTACATTATGGTAACTTGGCGAAAATTTGCGAAAATTTGGCAACCAACTCTCCTACAGCAACCCTCTATTTTTTTTCCCCGCCGCCATTTTGTCTTCACGAAGTAAAGACATGTTTCTTTTCTTCTTATCTACTGAACACTTCTTCCAACAATCTACTAGCCGAATTACACTTATGCTAGAAATTTTATCAAACAAAACTGCTTAATCATGACAAATATTCACTGCAAAATTGGGAAAAAGTGCACAATACCATACACCTTACGCGTTTTTCAAAATAACACATACACATAAACCATGTACACGCCGACTTATTTTTACTTAAAAAAACATCCCAGAATTGCACAAAAATGGCATTGTGCACACTCTTCACTATATCCATGTACACTGCTTTTTTTTCTCATAAATTAGAAAAATTTCACGAAAATACATGACAATTTTCTCAATCTTTAAACCCAGTAAAAAAGAACATATATGAAATTACCTGATCGCGAAAAAAGTACTTACCCTTTACAAATATGAACATTTCCACATATAAAATAAATAAAATATCCAAAAACGTTTTACCTCTAAATCATCTATTACATTTATACACGTCACCAACGAATTCATACCGCAAGCATACAAATACTTAGTATCAATATTTAAATTATTTCCATGCACGTTTATTTCAACTTAAACGTATACCAAATTCCTACAAACATAAAATTCACAAAAATAAACTATCATTTAATTAAAAATATCACTAAACCATGTACACGTCGACTTATTTTTACTTAAAAAAAACATCCCAGAATTGCACAAAAATGGCATTGCGCACACTCTTCACTATATCCATGTACACTGCTTTTTTTCTCATAAATTAGAAAAATTTCACGAAAATACATGACAATTTTCTCAATCTTTAAACCCAGTAAAAAGAACATATATGAAATTACCTGATCGCGAAAAAGTACTTACCCTTAACAAATATGAACATTTCCGCATATAAAATAAATAAAATATCCAAAAACTTTTACCTCTAAATCATCTATTACATTATACACGTCACCAATGAATTCATACCGCAAGTATTATAAATACTTAGTATCAAATATTTAAATTATTTCCATGCACGTTTATTTCAACTTAAACGTATACCAAATTCCTACAAACATAAAATTCACAAAATAAAACTATCATTTCATTAAAATATAAATTAAATTCAAAAACACTACTTAAAATATAAATGAGCACATACATTAAATTTATAAAAATTACTTTACAATCCTAATTACTTTAAACTAAATCATTGCTAATAACAATTTTCCCAATAATACCAAATTCCTTTCCACCTTACATTTAGAACAATGCATAAAAATAATATCCTCAAATAATTAAAAATACTAACTTACCTAATCTTCTTCAGAATCTTGATTACGTGGCGGATACACTTTTCTAATTCATTCAATAAAATTATTCAAAGATTTTTTTCTGCGAATTTTTCCTCCATACTTCCTCTGCTAAATAAAAAGCAAACTTCTCTTTATCACAATGCCTAAATACCCATTTCGAATCACTTTAGTTAGGGCCATGGGATCCAAAAATTACACAACACTGTTTCACACAACACAGAATAAAGCTAAATACAAAATTTCCACATTTTTTTCCCGATTTCCCCCCTTTTCCGATTAAAGAACCGTAATTCGTCCATTAATATCACATGACATATTCCATGATCTCTCATTTCCCTCACGCAAAATAATGCGTAATCGGAACTGAGTACTGCTCACATTATTACCAAAGTCCCAGGTAGTAACCTTTATCGCCTCCAAAATGTCGCCAAACTACCAGTTACCATATTGTAAAGATCAACCGAATTTTGTTTTTAATTGGGCTTTCTTCAGATAATAATTCATTCATTGTACTCAAATATAGTAAATTGTAACTCATTTGGAAATACAGCATTGCTGCAATATAACTTTGCTCACTGTGGATTTTATGAGTGCAGGTCATATTTTCCTTGTATTCTTGTTGATGGAGAATTTCCTTTTTGTTGATAGCCGGTTGTATCCAGGTACCTAATAACTCTTCTAATGGTTTTATAATCAGCTTTTGTTGCAAATTATTCTTTTAAAAATGCTACAATTTTATGGCACTACTAGTTTTTCACTCTTGTTTGACTTACCATAATGTTTGGCCCAGGTAATTCTTGTAATTTTATGCCATGTAAAAAGAGAATTAGCTTTACACATTTCTTAAGTTATTCATATGGTAATATTTATTTAAATGTTTTGTAAAAAATCTCAGCAGGACTTCTTTCAATATGTTTATTGAATCCATCATTTTATATAAAATACTTCTGTATCTTTTAAATGCATAATATTTCTATTATTATTGCTGTATATCTTCATAATATATTGTAATTGTTCTATTGGAGTAATTACATAAATTTGTTTTATAGTTTGTCACTTTTAGAAGGAAATTTAGATGCAGAACAAGAAACTGTAGTCCGTTGTTATCTTCTGAAAACACTTTCTGGCAGAGAAGATCTGAGTTTTGAAAACGAGGGAAAATATGCTGCATTGCAATTCAGGTGACTTTATTGAAACATGGTCTGTGTAGTTTTCTAAGGTATTTTATTGAGTTTCATTATTAGTGGTACTTACTCATTTAATCTATTTTGAGAAATATTCAGTAGCAAATCCGAAAGTTTTGTAACTTTGGGACCATTCTTTATGTGGATTTCGGGTCATATAAGAAAGTTTGTTAAATGAAGACTAAAAAAATCAGAAGAATAAAGAATTAAAGCACATTAATGTTTTTATTGACATTTTTATATTTTTCTCTCTTAAAAAGAAACTATGGATAAATGGTATATAGAAACTACTTAAATTTTTAAAATATATGTTTAATAATGGTTTATTTTTTAGTTTTAGATTGTTTGAGTCCCTGTTATCTCAATTTTATACATAGTTATTACTTCCCCATCATTTACATAATTTTGCTCTAAAAATTTCAAATCTTTTCTCCTGATGCCAAACCTTTATCAAATGGTACCTTTTTGGTGTTCTAAAGCTAAATAAGTGAATCATGTTCACCTGAAGTTAGCCCTTGAAGTTATAATTAGTAGAAGACTTAGTCTGCAAACTGTCTGCTAATATTGAATATCTTGGTATATAATTACTAATTGCTAGTTTTTCACTAGATTCTAAGTGGTCATCTGTAAGATAGAAATAGTATTTTTACTTTTATTATATTCAACTTGAGAAATGCAGATTCCCATGGGTAGGTAGAGCCAAAAAATGATTATAAATGAAATGCAACTTTTATAAATTAGGATATTTAGCTTCATCCATTAGATTCTAAAAGTTATTTTTAGGTTCTGAGCTACGTGCTTTTAAAATTATATCATTTTGAATAAAAAGAACTTTTTCTCAAGAGACAAAGAGAATATATTGTTTCTATTATTAGTTATTTCTTTCATATCAACATTGCCAAGTGGGTTACACATGAAACTAATGATAGATCCTAGTCTAGTAAATTCTTGAAAATATCTGCCTGATTTGGAGTAAAGAACTGTTATTTTCTCATAATATTTCTCTTTGTTGAATGTATCTCTGTTTTTTAATAACTCACCAGAAATATTTATGAAAACTTTCAGTTTGTCCTTCATGACCTGGGAAGATATTAGCTTTAATTTGTTTTTGAAAGTATTAACAAATCCAGCCAACTTAGCTACTGTTTGATTTTTTTTTTTTTTTTTCTTTGCAATTCTAAAATGGTTTGTTGTGTCAATAGCAAAAGCTAAATTTATCAATGTGATATTACCACTAAGTCCAATGTACACTTAATCTTTTGATTCTAAAAAATCTCTTGTAGTATATCCCTGAATCTTTATAAAAATATGCATTTTAATCAATGAAGATGTGTATGATATAACAATCCTCCTTACTCAGATTCAGTTTTTTCTAGTTCATCTTGAAATATTCTCTGGATACTTCTTTGAATTTTGTTCATAATTTTCATGTAGATTCATGCAATGTGATACACATATAGAATTTTAGAACAGAGGGCTTGCTTTTGAATAATGCAATGATAAAAAAGGAAATTTGAGAAGTCATCATTTCTGATACACATAGCCAAAAATCCATTGAGTTGTCTGGTCATCAGTTGCCATCGATACAACTTTATAAGTCTGAATCTTTTGTATTCGCTATTGTGGGGGAAAACATTCTTCTCATTCTTTATTAAAATCGTCTGTATTTCTTTTCTTGCACTTGTTTCTGACATCATATCCCTATTTAAAGTATGATAGATTATTATTTTTACCAGAAATACAAGTAAGACAAAATTGTCAAACTGAATATTTATATTACATCAATAAAATAGAACAAAGTTGCATATCATAGTTTGTTTACATTAAAATAATCTGCAAATGATCAGTTCATAGTTCTAATGAGTCTTCAACTTGCAGCAAACTTATATGAATCGGCGAATGTACTTCTGTGTCATTGTGCTCTTCTTATGAAGGTGCATGTGCCATTTACACATCAATAAAAGCACTTGCTTAAGTAAACACAGCCACCTTGATTGTGAAAACCCAATTTTCCCATCTGGTGGATTTTGCGTTGGTCTTTCATAAATAGGTTTTTTTTTTAGTATGTGGGGCTTAGTAAATGCAGTTACCCCTAAAATGTCTTGTTAGTCCACTGGTGGCCCACAATTGACCTAATGCTCACCACTGCTTTGGGACAGTTTAGTATTATAAGCAGAAAAAACTTAAAGTATCATAGCAATAGGTGACCATACCAACTATCTTGAATGCTTAGCTCATTTGTGTGTAATTTAAATGCTCAGGAGTTCATTTAAAGTTTTTTAGGAAGAATTGAGCTGAATAAGAAATTAAGGGAAAAAGATAATTAGAAAGCAAAACTTGTTAGTTAAGACATTTAAAATGCTTCTTGAATACAGGGTATTGTATTATAAAGTCACTACAACCCAGAAATGAATTATTCTATAGATGATAAGTAAAAAATATACAAAAAGTACGTAGCAGGAAACATATAATTTATCCGTTACAGGATGTTGGAAGATTTATGGCAAAGGAATGCAAGTGGGTAGCTGCCTTATATATTCAGGAATGATACACACACAGTTGAATGAAGGAATAAAGCTATAGATATTGCCACATATGACCCAGGTTGTTATAATTAAAAGAGAATGTGTACATTTTCTTAATGAATATATTTCATTGTTTATAGTTTAGAACACATCGTAAAGACAGTAAAGGAAGCTTGTGCATATGCATAGAAGTAGCAGTAAATGCTCAAGATGGAAGACACAAGCAGTAGTACATTTCCGCAGTAGCACATTGACATTGAGAACAGCGAATATGTCAAAAATACCTGTAGTGTTTAGGTGCCATTGGACAGTGTTCTCAATGCACTAATACTGTAGAGCAACTGGATACACATATCTGTAGACTTTCATTTACCTAGCCTTACAAAATAATCTAGTGAATTCGAACTAGGAGATTGTGTAGCTATTTAATAGCATTTGCCATTCTGTTTCACAATGGCTAATGCAATCATCTGGGTTACCAATCCAATTCATCTGTGGCAGTATGTGTGATACAGAAATTACTGAACATCCTGTGTAAATTGTGCACACAGTGCATATGTTTTTGCTTAATGCACAAACATTTAGTATGAGGAACATTATGGAGTAGCAGCTGTAGATCATGTTTCAAGAAATGATCTTCAACAATTTATTATAAAACATAAAATGTATCATTACATTATTTATTATGTTCATAACAAAAATATGGGGGTGGGATAGCTCTCTTCTCGTACCATAGAATGCATTCCCAGCATGTAGGTTTTTATTTATTTATTTATTTATTTATTTTTTTATCTTGTACACCTGGTAGATTGTATTACAATTTTAAGAGTGATATACTTTTAAAATCTGTGTTTCTGTAAAATCTCAGTCTGGCTTATTACCTCAGATAAGCTGAAACCCAAAACTGTACTGAGTAATATCTCAAACACATTTTACCATTTTTATTTTTAAGATAGTTATGTTAATGAAAAATATCAAAATTTTATACCATGTGTTTTACATATGGTATAAAATTTTGGTACAACTCTGATATACGCCCTAATTTCACCAAATGTGGCTATATGTATTCTACGCTGGTTTTTGGTGCAGATTGCGTGTTGTAGGGCAACCCTGTTGACATTGAAAAATCTTTTGCTGGAGCTTGTTGGTTCCTGTCATGCTCGTTGGTTTGTTGGCAGAAGAACGTGGCAGAAGTTGATCTGTCAACACTATCGTTATCTTCAGGGCAGATGTTTTTATTTTATTCGGCTTATAATTCCTTATTAAATGTAGTATTTCATCTTGATGTATTTCGTCTTTGATATGATTTAAATCAAATTCCTCGTCATTATAAATATCACGAATACAAATCAAATAGTTTTCTGGTTGCAATTTTCTAATTTCGGCTATGTTTAACGTATGCTTTACGCATGCGCGCGTTGAAAGAAATGTTTAATAAAGTAAACAAATAAATATTAAGCTTTTTTCTTGTAAATTTTGGTACCCTTTAGATCATAATTGCTCATTATTTTATAAATTACGGTTTAACATTTTTAATTTTATAATTTATGCACGCCATCTTACCAGATTTAAACTGATGATCTATAATCCGGAAAAATCGATAATCCGGAATCACCGAAGTCCTGACGAGTCTGGATTAAAGACTTTTGACTGTATGAATTTATGTCATTATTGTTTTTTTTTAATTGTTTGAAATTTATTTTAGTTTATTTTGTTGATTAGTGCGTTTTGTTGATTGTGCAATTCATAGATATTTTTTAAAGTTGAAACAGAATGCTGTGTACATGGTATTCTTTGAAACTTATTGTTGTTATGTTAATTTATTAAAGCGAGGTGTGCGTAGTTCGTAGATTCGTTCGTTGCTTAAATTGTGCAATTCGTAGATTTTTTTTAAGTTTAAACAGGATGCTGTGTACATGGTATTCTTTGAAATTTATTTTTGTTATGTTAATTTATTAAAGCAAGGTGTGTGTAGTTTGTAGATTCGTTCATTGCCTAGATTGTGCCATTTGTAGATTTTTTTTTTTTTTTTAAGTTAAAACATATCACTGTGTACATGGATTCTTGTCAAATATTTTTGGTTAGGAACTTTACATTTTTGCTATGTAAATTTTTTGTTTTTGTTTCGGATTCTTAGCTTAAATTGTGTGTTCAAAACACAGTTTTTGCATACGTTTTTGGAGACATTTTAGGCTTAAAGTTCGAAATGTAGACAAAAAATTTAGATAGTAATATAGCAGCGTGGAGTTTCTCACCAAAAATGTTTGGCGAGAAATTTGACGAATTGAGGGCGCATATCAGAGTAGTTCCAAAATTTTGATATTTTTCATCTACAAGAAGTTTTCATATTTTGGGGTGATTTAATTTATGAATTTAAAATATTCAATACACCTTGAAAAAATTTGTTATGTTTATGGCAGTATATGAATATATTTTTATTCTTGAAAAATATTTTCTTTTAGTGATGATTCTGATCAATCTTTTGGCTGCTATTATCACAGATTATCAAAAAATGCTCCAGTCTCTGATGATGATACCTCAGATAATTCTTCACGCAAAGTATACACATTTTTTATTTGTCTCATTGGTCCTGCTAATGGAGCTATGGAATCATATCCTTTGAAAGCAATACTAAGACATGCATAAAGCTGGAATAATAGTGTTCATCATTGCTTGAACATTTTAAGTTTTTTTTTTATATGTGATTGGTGGTAACCGAACCTAAAACTATTAATTTTAATGTTGTACTTATGAACTGTACTATATCAGACTCATTTTAGAGTAAAAATTATTAATTAGAGAATTAAAAAATCTGAAAGAATATAATTGGGGATGAATTAAGTCATGAAATGGTACTTAAGCTTTCATATGTGTAAACAGTTTTAGAGGAAAGAAATATAATTTCATAAAATAAATCACAAAGGAATCATTCTTGAACTTTCAGATATTTCAGGTTGGCTATTTTTAAGCGTAAAGAAATGCTTCTCGGAAAGTGATAAGCATAAGATAGATAAAATGAATTCAAAACATACTCTTGGAAATGGTAATATGAACACATCAGAAATCAGCACCGATCAGAAGTGCAATTAAAATTATCATGATGATTATGATGATGCCATTTTGTGCGTCGTGTTTTGGGGATTACAGATAATTGTGAAATGCCACAGATTTTATTATTTTAGGTAACAATAACTGTAGATCTGAAAAGTGTTATATCATTAATTATTTTAGATGGCTAGTTTTGTGGTCTGCATGGTGATAAAAAATTCTTTTGAATTTTGATTTTGAGTTTTGGAATACAGAGGAATTGTTTGGAATCCTAAGGTTCTGCAGAACGTAGTTTGAAGACTGCTATAATTATAATCATGCTATAGGTGATAGAATAAGTGATTAGGTCATCTGAAAAGTTTTGCAATTTTTTTTATGATAAATACAAATGAAGCAGTATGAAAGCATAAGGAAATTTCATTGAATCATATAAGCACCATTTTGCTCTATGATCTTTTTTATCTCTTCAGCAGCTTGAAAATTCTTTTTTTTTTAAAATGTCATTAGATTTATTAAAGAATTTACTGAAACACTGCTTGACAGTCACCAACATATAAGCATCATTTTGTTCTATGAATTTTTTGTCATCTCTGTGGCAGCTGGAAAATTCCTTTTTTTAAATGCATCATTAGGTTTATTAATAAAGAATTTACAGAAATGCTGCTTGACTGTCTTCAAAGAAATAAACTCCAGACCATTCAGAGAACTTTGAAGTGGTCTCAAGAAATGAAAATCTGAGACAGTAAGGTGTAGTGAATATGTGGAAGAGACATAAGTATGCTGTTGAAATGTGGGGCTGAGCATTGTTCTGATAGACAACTTTGTAATGATTCATCATTTCTGAACATTTTGCTACTATTTCTATTTTTATAAAAACCATTTGGGTACACTATTTTTCTGAATTCATTGTCCAATTTAGTGAAAATTGTTCTTTTGCAGTTCCAGCATGCAAACAAAAAAGTATTACTTTTTTGCAACACAGTCCTTTGCTCAATGTTACTAAAGGAGGTTCTTTTGACTTACACCATTATCCTTTTCGTGTAACATTGTCATATATAATAGTATCCACTTCTCACTTCCAACAATGAGCTATTTCACAAAAGAAACATTTTTTTTTTTTTTTTTTTTTTTTTTTTTTTAGCAAAGAATCTTATGCCAAAACTTGAACAAGCACATTCTGCTTTATTAAAAATATGGAATACCAGTGCTTTGTTGTTATGTACCTAATCTTCTTCGAATGATCATCTATTGCCCTTTTTGGAGTATTTCGTTTGTCTGATAGCTCCTGAATTTTGCAGTCTGAATTTTTAGCTACAGCTTTTTTTAATAGGTCTTTGTTTACAGAGGATGGTTGTCCAGAGCAGGGATCATTTTCAAGTCTAGAGCGGACATCATATTCCATGCTTAAACTTCTCAAACCATCTTTGAACTGTCATCAGGAATAGGCTTTTTTCCATATATAGCATAAATTAAACAAACAGTTTTATTAAATATTTTTCCCCTTTTTTAAGGTAAAAGAGCATATATGATGAAAATGAACTTTTGGCTTCTTCATGCTTCAACACTGCACTGAAACAAAAATTATGCCACAGTACATGCTAGAATTGCGCAACATGAACAGCAAAGACTACCTTTAAGCTTCTGCTTCAACCAGGGTCATTTTTTTATTAGAAGTAACAAAATGATTAGGAGGAAATGCACTTCAACTTGAAAAATTGCAGAACATTCTGGGATGACCCAGTGTTATTAAGTGCAAACATATTTTTCTTTTTATTTGTAATTTGTTTTCTTTTGTGAAACAAAATACATTTACCATAACTGAATTTTTTTAGGAAAAAGAAAAATGTATTTTTTGCTATTAAATGATGATTTTTTTTTTTTTCTATCATCATATGTTAAGAAATCTAGTATTTCTGAAAAACATTTTAAAATTTTGCCTTAATTCTGTATTCTACATTCTGCCCTGAGTTAGGTATATTTTGTCAAGGATTACTTCATTCTCTAGATCCTGAGGTAATAAATGTGTTTTAAAAATATTTCATATTTTTATTTATAAGAATGTCAAGATCATCAGTAGTATATCTTTTTCTAGTGCTTGAGAACGATATCATGTATGTTAGTACTGCTAAATTAATTATCAGTTCTGTTTTTTGTTTTCACTTATATGTTTATTAAAAATGTAGGCTAAGTACAGGTACATTCGTACTATGATTTTTATATTTCATCTAACAAAAAAATTCTAATCGCAAATTGCAAAATGCATACTTTAAAAAATATATATTGACTTGAATAATCTTCTGATAATCACATGCAACTTATGTACATAAATTAAAAAGTATTTTAAAGAATTAAAAAGAATATTAAAAGAATTAAAAAGTAAATTATAAAATTAAAAAAGTATTTTAATTTAGTATATCTTCTGCATTAATGTTTATCAACATAATATAATGTGTAATTTAGATGCATAAACTGACATATAAAAAGCATTTTATGATTAATACCTCTTCTTCATTAAATATTTTAGCCTAACATTACACCTATCTTATAAACATAATCTAACATTTAAAAAGTATTTCAAGCTAACATCTCCTCTCCATTAACTATTATGTTAACAGAAAACATATCAAGGTAATTTTACCTTGCCATATTAGACCTTTAGTTATCTGTTATATAGGATGACTGTGACATATCAAGTTAATGTATGTAAGGTATATTATTTGTAAATTCTATTCACCCCCTTTCTTGCAAACCACTTTAAGAAGTACAAGGATTTGGGGCATCTTAAAATAGAGCCAATAAGATAAATATATGTGTTAACTAATTAAAATGAAAAAAAACGGAAGTTAATGCTTGAATTTATGTAAAGTATTGATAAATATTATGAAAAACTGTACACTAATGAAAGAAAAAAAAAAGACATCTGCATTATTACAAATATAACATTATTCAATGAGAAATGTATTCTAATTTATCATAATTTCTTGCTAATATATTCATTTTATTATAATTTATTATGCATATGATCATTAGAACATATAATTATGTACAATAAAATGATTTTTTTCATCAGTCCACTGCATAATTTGTATACAGGTTGTAAAGATTTCCATATATTGTTTGTTTTCTCCAAATATCTTAACTGAACTGCAGTCCATGATGATCAAAATATCTTAGCTGAATTGCTATTTAGTAGTCTGTGAAATGTGATTCCTGAAGAAGTTTTGAACTTAGACAATCTTCTGTATGAAAATTTTGTACTTTTCCGTTTCGCCGTCACTAATCTCACCAAGCAGACTTTATTGGTGACACGATACAATATACACATAAAAAATGCTAACAAATGTTAGTTCTAAGAATTTTTTATTTGAATGCATAAACATTTTAATATCGTTTAAAATTTTATAAAAAGCCAATAAATAAGGACAATAAATTTGTAAAAAGACAATTTAAGAATTTACTATGCTTTCATGGTGCAACATCCTGATTTGCCGGTTCATATCATGTGACCCCAAGTGATCTCACGTAAACTACGCTACAAAAATCTAATTCTCTCAGTAATTATCTACACTAATTTCAAGTTAAATCTTAATTTGGAATACAAGTTTAAAATGCAAGAATTATTTCAATTTGTCTTAATAGCTTACTCAGAAATTATGTAAATCCTCAGTGCTTTACTTCGCTAGTGCATTCTCATTAGAATTGATGAATTTAACCCTTGACTTTGCCTTTTCTGTATTTTCACCTTCGGGTGAGCAGTGTGATTGCATCCTAACTGACTTAATTACCAAGAATGGTCTTATAGCATAAAATTGATCTGGTAAAAATTCTATGTAATTTTATGTACAGTATTAGAAAAGTGCCTATTATTCTATTTTCATTTTTCACATACAAATTTTGCCAGAATTAAGAAATCCTTAATTTGCTTCAGAATCAGAATGATCATTTCAATGTGCACATAATTGTTTACTTTTATGAATGACCTTATCAAAGAACTCATTTATTATTCACATAAAATCTAAAAATGACGCATTTAGGATATTTGTTTTATATGTTATTATTAGTGCTCCTTAGATAAAAACGGTACTTTTCCATTTTCCTGGTGTGAATGGCCTTAGAGCATAAAATTTATCTGGTAAAAATTCTGTGTAATTTTATGCCAGTATTGAAAGAAACAATCAATCTGATAAGAAATGGCTTCGATTTGTTTTGAAAATGAGGTGTAAAAGGTTACCAGAGAGGATATTCCGTTTGGCATGAGTTGTGCCACTATGGCTGACTTTATCACCTGCACCGGCAAAACAGAAAAGTACCGAACATTTTTAAGATATTCATGATTTTTTGCTATATGTGTTAGTAGAACTGAGGTGAATCGTGATTAGCAAAAGCAACCTTGTAAGCAATCATGGTGTATCAAAATGCTGAATGTTGAGACAACAGCATGTTTTGGAAAATCTGAGATCATGATGGATTTGTACAAAGAACATTCCTTAACCTTTCCACTACATGTTTTCAATGATTCTACATGAAAAGTCTGTTTGTGAGTTAAATTTGCCAAGAGTTTGAGACAGAAGAAGCTAATGCTCATATTATGTTTCTGCGTGACCATGGCTTCCTTGGGGAAAGATCAGTTCTTGTTATTGCTGTCAATTTCATAGTGCGAGAGAACCCACTAGAAAGCTATTCTGCACTGAAAAGGCTTTAACATTTCTCCAGACATTTTAAATTGGGAAAAATAGCAATCTTATTTTGGTGTAAATTTTGAATAAAACTTTATTGATTCTGGTGATGACATGAAGAGTGATGACTATATTTATATAGAAAGCAGTGTGCACAGAAGAGCGAACATGAAGATGTTGCATGGTCTGTCAAAAAAGATAGTGTTTTTTTTTTTTTTTTTTTTTTTTCTGTTCCAGAACAATATTGTAGTAGTAATATATGCAGTTAAATTCAGCCTTTCTTATCTATTGAGCAAAGCACATGATAAATTAGGCAAGAAGTTTTTTTTTAAGTATAATTACATCTAAATCTTGTCTTGTGAAGGATGTTAGATTATATGTCATCATTTGAATACAATGAATGGAAAGTGGTATATTTGAACTATGTGGAGGTATGTGTGTACATGAAGTTGAAATTCCTTTTAATACTTTTTAGTAAAATGTTAAAAAGTTTACAGTTTTTTTACCAATGTTATTTTTGCGGGGAGGGGGATACCTCTTCAATATATATGTTCTATAATAAAAACAGGCTGATATATTGCAACTGTCTGTTTTCAGATTCAGTATGTGTTTAAAATCATATTCAGAGACAGCCATCTTGGGAACGCAATAGTCATAAGAGGATTCTCTTTATTTTGAAGATGAAAACTATGTTAGATATTATAACTATCTGTCGTATTCTTCTAATTATACTTACATGGACAAGAATTCTGTTTTTTTTAATATATTTTAGTAGATTTTTATTTCAAAAAGATAGCTTGACTTATCATTATCAGCTGGAAATTTATTCCAGGTATACTAACAAACATGAATTTATTGCAATATTCTTTACATAGCAGTAAAATTCAACCTTTGTTTTGTGCTATTTTTAAATAGAAAATTTCAAAGTATTCAAGAATTTTTCATTATATTATTCTACCAATTTATTCTGAAGTAGAACAATATAATGTATATATCTTAGACACTGAGTATTGTGTTTAAAATTAACACAGCATGAATCAATATTTTATGATATTTTTTGACAAAATATAACACTGTCCATCTAGTTTCCTTTATTAGAGTTAAGCTGAGGGTAAAATTTTTCGACCAATTTCAAATGTTAAGCTAGAATATTTCCTATTTCATTAATTACTTGACTCATTAATTACTTAATGAGTTAAGTAATTAATGAAAATAAGCCAAAGTAAAGTTTTAAAACTTTATTTTAGAATTTAGTATTCATTGCTTGATACCTTTTTGTGCTATATTCTGTATGATTTTTTTCTGTTATAGGATAGCATATGCCAAACAATATTCTGTAGAAAAATATTTGCACCAGTATGATACTTTCAATGAGAAGACATAGTTTTGTTATCAACTGAGTTTAACTATGGTAAATTTTTTTGAATGCAAGAAATATATCTCTTCTCTAGTTGAGTCAAATAATAAAGAATGAAATAGAAGGATGCAATTGGAAAACCTTATTATTGACAATATTTACTGTGGAAACAAGAACTGTTTAAGAGATAACAGTACATTTAATATAAGTGAATAAAAGGCAATGTTGGTGCATATTTTAACAATGAAGAATAGCAATGTTGGTGCATGTATCTTTCGGTGAAACGTTATTTGGCATATTTTAGGTAATGTAATAGAAAGATTTTCTGCATTTTTATGAAATATATATTTTTTAGGGCTCAAAAGACCAAGCACATGTGCAATTTAAATTAAAATCATGGTATTTTTATTGCATTGAATATGTTGGACGCTGTATTCAAAGATTCAAAGAAGATATAAGTCTTGTACTGCATAGTGTAAGTGAAAAGCAATTTTTCTGTAATCACCAGTAATTTATATTCTCTGTTTTATTGCACTTCAATGAAAATGATTATCTAGTTTGGAAAATTTATTTGATATCTTTATTTTTCCTTTTCTTAAAAGTTATGAAAAAAAAATTTAAAGTCCTTTTTCTAAAAATTAAGGTTTTTTTTTTTTTTTTTTTTGTTTTTTTGTTTGTTTTGTTTAATGAAAACCAAACATTTATTCTTAAACATAAAAATAAGTAAGATACATTTTTCATATTAATCACAAATTTAATACCAAAGAATGTAAGTGTTAAGAACATTCATTTTTCCTTTGTATTTAATTTGCTTATAAGGAAAAATTTCTACCTTAATTTCTCTAATTAAAGCAGGTGCAGTTAGTCACTAGAAGTGACAAGTTTAATTACAATTAATATATTTTTTAAATGACTATAAACGATCATAATTATTATAATTATAAATTTTGTAAAATATTATTATTGTGTATGGACATCATGATATAATATCATAAAATATGTTTATAATATTGTCTGTCTGGATATTAAAATTCTATGTAATGAGATTTGAAATTTTTTCATTGGTGTGAATTTTAATATTTCATTCTTAGTAAAATTGTATATGTATTTATTTTATTCATTTTTATATTATATGACTGACTTGTATAAAATTTTATTTTGTAATTTCAGTCCCTTTGGGGAAATGTAGAAATTGCTTCAGAAGATGAAAATATCAAATGGGATTTAGAAAGGTTAGGTTTTTCAATTAAGTATTTTATGAAATGTGACATATTTGTAAACTGGAAGTGGTATCAAGTAGAACATAACAACACAAGTATCAGTGCACATACACTGAAGAGCAAAAACATTATGACGACTTGCTTAATAACGCATTCTGCGACATTCCATGAGAGCCACCCGTGAGAACATCTCCCAAAACATAATGCAGCTACAACCAGCCTGTGTATTACCTGGTGTATGGGGGGGTAGCAACTATTTGCCTGGAAGACCACGTACCCTGACATGACCATCAATGTGATGAATGAGAAATCATATTGATCCAACCAGATATCTGTCTTCCACTTATCCATGATCCAGTCTTTAATTTTCCAGGCCCACTGTAAGCATAGTTGATAAAGATGCTTTATCAATAAGAGCACATGATGAGAACTTCTGCTGAACAGTGTCATATCCAACAGTGTCCACTGAACTGTGTGTATCGAAAAACTTGCACTTGGATCTGCATTGTATTGGGCTGTTAGCTGTGCTACTATCTAACACCAATTTTTCTGTACTGAATGGGACAGTTTCTGACGTCTTCTTTCTTTAATGATGCACTGATGTTCAACACCTATGCATCTACTGCTGGTTTCACTGTCATTTATCCACTTAGCATAAATACTAATAACGGTAGATCGTGAACAACCTATTAATCATGCAGTTTCGTAGATACTCATTCTGAATCTTCGGGCCATTACAATCTGTCCTCTATCAAATTCATTTAGATCAGCAACCTTTACCATCACTCGCAAAAGTAAGTGCAAGAATGATTCCTTATCTTCTCCAAGTAACAGTTAAGTACCATTCCCGCTGAATCACATGACTTCCATATCATCCAGATGAGTTCATTGAATAATGTGGGGATGGTCATAATGTTTTGGCTCATCAGTGTATATCTTCATTTTTCATCATTATTCACATTAACCATTTTTGACCCATTGTGCTATGCAAGAAAGGGAACAACGATTGAATAAATAAGTTACTGTATTTTCTTGCTTATTTTTCCTCTTTCATTTTTGTTTATTGCTTTTTAACTCAAAGTTCTGAAAGTCTTTTTAGTAATTGGTTTTTGCTTTATCAGTTGATTTGCTTTTGGATTAGGCATGCATGGGCTGTGATTGATGAAGCAATAATAGTAAAGAACATTGAGAAAATGGGGATATCTAATGCTAGTAATGGGACCTCAGTCTCATGATACATCATCAATACTTTATGGTGGACACGAAACAAACTTTATGATGATAGCTGCAAATTTAAAAGTTCACAAATTTTGTAAACAAAAGAAAATTTTCTAGTTAATAGAATATGTGAAAAAGTAGTGAAAAAAGGGAGATAATGTGACAGAAGCTTTTAATTGTGATAACAATGCCCTAGTCATCAATTAGCAAATAGTTGGTAAAAATCTGTAGTATGGATCTAAATCCAGAAACTATCACTACCAACAGTGAAGAAAGTGACAGGCAGGTTGTTTATAATAAAAAAATTCAGTTGAATATTTAGTGGGGATTCTGGACAGGGCAGTTACAAGACTTAAACATTGGAACTTTCTAACTGAAAAAGAAATTGCGCCTATCTATAGAATTAAAGGAAAAGGTATTAGCACAAAAAGCAAAACAACTTACAATGAAAGAGATGTTTAATAAAACAAACAAATAAATGTTGATTTTTTTTTTTTTTTTAATTTTGTTTTTTCAAAAGTCATAAATGCTGCATTATTTCATATTTCTAAGTTTATAATTTCAATATCATCATACTAGATTTAAAATCATGATCTAATATGTGGAATCATCGAATTCCTCTTATCTTGTCTCCAATCGAAATATCTTGTCTCCAATCAGCATATAAGTAGATGACAAGATTTGGTTTTACACTTGAGGAAATATATAAAGATCTTTTATTATGTTTAAATATCTGATGAATGATTTTACAGCATCTTACTCTTTTTTGGCATGAATTGAATCAGGAAAAACCTCGTAGAAAAACCACTTTCGACACACTATGAAGACATAAACTCATAAAGATCATCTGTAAACATGGTATCAAAGGCAGTGCACTTATTTGGATTGCTTACTTCTTAGGAAACATGAAAATTAAATATAGATTCAATGAAGGTCTTTTGAAAAATAAGAATACTTGGGCAGGCAATCTCAAGAGCTCTGTTCTCAGCTCATTACTATTTTTATTGTACATTAACAATATTCATTATCACCTGTATAAGGTTCCTGCCTAGAATTTTCAGCTAAGTGTGTGGAACCTTGAGAATTGGTGAGCAAATAATCGCTTTAGCTCAAACAGAAACTCAAGGAGGGTTAATTACCCTTTATTGCTCAAAATAAGGTTTTACACATGGTAAAACATTATTTTACCATCTGTAACCATCTGTACATCTGTAAACCAGAAAAGCCTCTACTTGGGCTATAACCTCTTAACCTATGATTTAGATTCGAAGATGTTAGGCCGAAATTGTATACAAGCTCGCGCAGCGTTCGGGACATTTGCACGACTTGAGTAACAAACTAATCCGGGCAATCATAAACATGACGAATTATGTAATTTTCAAAGAAAGTATAGGCAAATAATTATTGATGATACATCCAATGACGATCAACTACCAGAGTCCTGGCTTTGGAAAGAAATAAGAAATAGTCCAAAAATCTGGGACTATACGATAACTCCTGGCATAAGAGAGGAAGCCTTATGTCAATTAGGAGGAAGTAGAGGAGAATTTGATATATGACATATTTTGGAACTATATTGTAACCGAAATGAATTAGTATGCAGATCAAATATGAGAAAATCTACATAGAACACAAGTGTAAAAAGTGTAAAGTTTCGTTACATGTACCAGAATGCTTTGAATTATATCATACCATTATAGATTACTAATTTTGTATTTTGGAGTTTTGTATAAATAATCATTTTGTAATACTTGCGTCTACCACAATTATTGCATCAGACTGTAATTGCGTATCAAATATTCCACGTAATATTCACTTCTGGCCTGATCACCGTAAGCGGGCTATGCTGTGAAAATTAGGTTTGGCCTGACCATCGTACGTGAGCTATGCCCGTGAATGTTAGGTTTTGCCTGACCATCTTACGTGGGCTATGCCCATCATTGTAGATTAAGGGGTTAACTCAAGAATACTAAAAAATAAAACTTAATTAGTGCTTAACTAAAAAGATATAGGTGAAGCTATCAAAATTGTACAGTAGCTGGCCCCTTAAATGCTAACGAAAAGGCAAAGCTATCAAGGGACTCAAAATATGGCTGAGCCTAGTAATAGCTTAGAGAGAGAGTAGCCCAAAAGGTGAACGCACCCTAGTCAGAATCTCTGGCTCTCTCACAAAGTCACTGAAACTGCGACTTAAATACTGCTCTTTCTTCATTTGCATTTAACTGCGATTCTAAAAACACACTTTGGCAGGAAATTTGTAAGCTGAAATTAGAAGCAACAGTAAAGTAGCTTTAACTAAAAAGATAACTGTTAAAATGGGATAAACCTTACACCTGTTTGAGGATGTCAAAATTGCAAATGATATGGCAAGTTGCATACCTGCTACAAAAATGCAGATGATATGGCATACTTCCTATAAAGCTGATAAATCTGCTTACATTCTAAACCAATCTCTAAAGAACATTCTAATTTAGTCTCAGAACCTCACACTGAAGTTTAATCCACAAAAATCACTCTTCACAGTTTTTACTGCAAATCAAAAGCATAGAAATCATATAAGGCCTACTGTCATGATGGATAATAACCTCTAACACAGACAGCAAATCCAAAATACCTTGAAGTGCAGCTTGATTCTGAATCATGCTTTACTAAATAACCAAGAAATGCAGAAATAAGCTTTAACGAAACTAAAAATTCTGAAAAGCTTATATGGCATTAACTGGGAAGCAAAGCACACAGCTCTTTGAACAACCTACCCAACTCTCACACCTTGAATGCGCTTAGTCATACCACATCCTGAGTATGACACTTCTATCTGGGCCAATGCTTCAATCATAGTACTTATTTATCTAGACAGCCAGAACAGCAAAAACCATTAGCGATGCAGTTTCTCTACAAACAATAAAAATGTAGCCTGGAAACTCCTAATAATGGGAGAAAATACTAAACCATGAGCTTCATTAACAAAGCTAGAAGCTGTAATTCTGATCATGTCTCACAAAAAACCTTCGAGTCCTTTGGTCTAGAAAAACAGACTTAAAGATTCATCTATCCTATAGTTCATATCTGAAGTAAGACAATCATTAGTATTGATAACTGAATCCTTGCAATACTCAAACAATCTTTACTCTTCACAACTATTTCCAAGAACACTGGAATTTGTACCAACCTCATTAAACCAAGTTTAGAAAAAAAATTAAAAGTACTGTTTTTGTGAAGGGAGGGCAGGCTATCAAAACAATATGAGAAAGTAACCTTATCCATGCAGTTCAGCTGATGAAACTATGCAGAATGGCATAGCTAGCTCATTAAGGAAATTTTGACATGCATAGTAATTTCAATACTTACTTAAATGTATTGAATTTTAAGAGTATTACCTAAGCTCTTTGCATAATGTCAAATGTAATTTTTTGATAATATTGCTACCGAATATTATAAGCATGAAATACAAGTTTAGCACATGCGCTTTCATCTCAAATTTCATCAGCGAGGTGAGAGCAATAAACAAAGCCTTACATGAATATTATCTACATGAGAATACGAAAAAGCAAATGGTTTGGATAAGATCTGTATTCTGTGGTGGATATTTGCTCATGTTGGCATTCCTGGAAATGAAACTGCAGACAGGCTTGCTAAAGAAGCAAGAACTCTAAACAGTGGTATTATAAAATTACTCATGAGGATGCAAATGCAAGCTATCAACTTAGAGGTAATACCATCAAAAAAGACTATGAGATTTGTAAAATTAATTCACATTTTGTGACATCACAAAAATCATGACTTGACTCGGTATTGAGCACTTGCATATGTAGATAGAAAAAGATGGTACAATCCATCTCTGCAATAATTGTGACCAGATAGCATTCTGTCCTGACCATATTTTTGACTATCCTACAATTATAAGGTCCCTGATTCTTCTTGTAGGATGTTCTTTTGATCCTAAGTGGTTCAATTTTGAGAACATCTCTGTGATAGCTGGCTGTGTTTTGTCTATACCTGGTCGTTTGTGATCAAGTTTGGGTTCCCATAGACAAAACACCTCAACCATCAGTTTCTATTTTTTTTAAATTGCCAGAATAGCTGACTAGTAGTTTTATGCAGTTTTTTCCAATTGTGAAAAAACTCATTAAGAATATTTTGACATGCAGAGTAATTTCAATACTTACTTAAATGTATATAATTTTAAGAATGTTACCTAAGTTCTTTGCATAATGTCAAATGTAATTTTTTTGGAAACTAAAAATTTCATGAAGATACATGATTTTACTGGATGACTTTTTGTGTTTCCAAGTAATAGGGAAAATTAATATGAACCTACAAAAGGCTGAAGAAAATCCTATAATAAAACACACCTTCAATTGCATTTTTTTTTTTTTTTTTTTTTTTTTTTGTTAATTTCTGCTATCCCACTTGCAAATGAAATACATTGTTCTCTGTCCAAGAAGTCTAGCTCGCCTTCCGAAAAAGAACAGTGATTATTTTAAATCACAAAAAAGTTTTATTTTGTTCATTTATAATCTTAATCTGGATTCCTTTTAAAATCTAATGGTTTCTTTCATGCGAGCAATGTGAATTATTATTACTAGTACTGTGATTTTATTTTATATTACTAAAAATGACAATTAGACATGTAATTACAGTTGTATAGAGATCAGAAGCAGATTTTATATTCTGCTTCTAATTTCCAGAAGTCCAAAAAGAGCTTAAAATCAAAATTAGAAATATTTCTCTTAATTTAAAATTCAGTGTACTCGTACATTCTGTGGAAGCATTTGTATTCTACCAACAGAATCATAGACAGTACCCGGGGTAACTGAAGATTTCATGCCCCCTCCCTCCTGTTTGCCAAGAATGAAAAAAATTTCATTCTAAAATTTCTTAACATTAGTTTGGCACCTCCTGGATGCTGCACCCAGGGACAAATATCCCCCCTTTCTCTCCTCTAGCTATGCCTCTGTTTACCAACTGACATCATTCAAAAGCTGTTAGTTGAGTGCATACCTAAAATCTGCCTATACGAGGACATCAAAATTAAGCCTTATTTATTCTGCAGCAAAATCTTTTTTTTCTATTGTAGTATATCACAATATTGTTGTTATGAGGTAAGATGTAATTTATAATGTCTAATTTTAATTTATGCGTATTAAAATTCTCAGCATAATACCTCTGATCAAAGCATTTTGGGATTACACACCAATTTAATTTGAATATTTGCTATCAAGTATCGTTAAATTGTCAGTGAATGTTAAAAACTGCTTTTGAATAAGCAGTAAATTTTCAAATAACAGTGAACTTTATTTGTTTACTATTGGTTTAATGAATGTAATTAGAATATGCATTGTGAATCATCTTTAAATGGAAAAACCTGTCAGACATTAATGATTTAGCTCACAAATTATCAAAAATCTTTAAATTAACAGTACATTTCTTATGCATGCTATTAAAGATAGCATTTGTAAGTAATAAAGAGAATATATATATGCCTGAAATTTCCAACATTGCCATTTATTTTATTCATGCATTTTAATATTTAATTTAGAATTAACGGAAATCTGAATATGCTGTTAATTTTTACAGATATTGATTTGAATTATTTAAGTCATCTGTTGCAGAATGGTTAAATACTGAAAATTATTAAATAAATACTAAAATTTTTTTTAACTAATATTAAAAAATTCTTATTTTTCAGGTTTGTGGAAACTGCCTCTTTGATGCCAAGAATTCCAGATAAGGCTAAAGAAGAGTCTTCCAGTTTACAGTCAGTATTAACAGTAAAAATTTCAGATGGGAAAATTGAAACAAGTAAACCTGTAGGTCAGTTCAAATAACATCCATAAATGTATTACTGAAGTGTGTCTGTATATTCCTGCAGTCTAGAAAATGTGTAATTTTGTAAATTACATAATCATACTGACTTTTATAGTTTTGTTAGGGTTGAATCATAGTGTTTCCAACACCTAGTTTGACTTACTGCTCCCTTTTGTGAATACGGGTGTGGCAATCCCGAGGTACCCTAGCCCTTCAGGAGATAATCTTCTTAGTGAGATGGGGGTCATGATCCTGGAGCCCTAGTGATCTTTCCTCTTTTCTTTTTCATCTCTCCTTATCTGTGCCCTTGTGGTATAATTTCTTTTCTTCTGCCCTTGTGGTTCTTTACTTCGTATTTACAGATCGCTTGTATACGCTAGATTAGACTACGGATCAACTGTATATGGATCTGCATGGCCTTCTGTTTTAGTGAAACTTGATCCCGTACATGATCAGACTCTGAGGATTAGTTCGGGAGCTTTCAGAACGTCTCCTGTCCAGAGCCTATATGTTGATTATTATGAGCCGGCGCTTCAACTATGGCGTGAGCAATTGTCTCTTTACCAGTATTTCAGTATTATGTCACAATCTTATCATCTCTTCCAGGTCTGCAGGCTTCTATGTCACAAACTTCTATTTATTCACAAACTTCTATGTCACAAACTTCTATTTATTCACAAACTTCTATTCTTCTATTTTTCTTATTTGCTTCAGACTGTCACAAACTTCTATTTTCTGCACGACCTCTTAACATACTTTCTTTCTTAGAAAGAACAGAAATGCTGATAGAAAAATTTTGCTTGTCTGATGCTTGTTTGATACTTTACTGCCTGGATCTTGATTTAAAATAGGTAAAGTATCTAGAATTCCCACCTTGGTATAATCCCTAAAATTGAGCTACTGGATGTTTTTCAAGATCTCAATAAGAGTGACACTAATGAGGTAATATACAAGCAAGTTTTTCTTTAAGCATAGAGATCAATATGATACTTTTACTCCCATCTATACACATGGTTCAAAATCTGCCAGTCATGCATGTGCCTACTTTGTATCTCAGAACCACACTGAAAGCAAATGATAGCAAAATGCATGTTCTGTATTTACTGCTGAATTAACTGCTGTGTCTATCGCTCTTACATTATCTCTAAACAAATCCAGAAAAAAATTTGTAATTTACACAGACTCTTTAAGTACTCTAAAAGCTTTAAGTAATTTTTCTGAGACTCGAAATCCTCTGCTAGTAGACATTCTAATAATGCATAAAAAACTAAAGACCAAGGGTATGATATTCTTTACTGCTGGGATCCCTGGACACGTAAGCAGTAAAAGGTAACGAGCTGGCAGACACCCATGCCATACAGCTGGCAAATTCTGCAATTGTTTTATTAAATCCACTTGTTCCTTTTAGTGATATCAAAATAGCCATCAAGCTGAGAATCTCATTTAAATGGCAGTTATTCTGGGACGATCAGGTTTTGAATAAATTGAGAAATATCAAACCTAAATTAGAGTACTGGGAGACAAACCGAAACTGGAGGGAGGAGGTAATTTTAACCCGCTTTCGTATCAGTCACACTCGAGTCACGCATCGTTATCTGTTGAAGGCCGAAATTCAACCTGTATGTTCAAACTGTAATGATGTTTTAACTGTTCGTCACTTTTTAATAGAATGTCTACATTTTAACAGACTTTAAATGAAATATTTTAATGACTCTGACTTGCCTTTGGACCTTATAATCGGGAAAGAGACCAATACAAATTTATTTGAGTACCTGAAAGAGACAGGTCTTTATAATTCAGTTTGATTTGTCTTGCTGTTACACCTTAGTATTTTAATGAAATGTATTTTAAATTATTTCATGTTTTAGAATTTTACACCCAACTTCATCTGAGCATTAATCATTTCATCAGTTTTGGATTTTATACTTTTCGTTTGATTTTAACCCCCTCTATTTGTATCTATGTCTGTTTTATCTATCAGCTGTGTTTTAAGTGTCTGACATGTGGTTCGGCGCATATAACCTCTAAAGTTTTGCACCAGAATATGCACACACCACCACCACTGCTCCCTTTTCAAGGATTTTTTTTTTTTTTTTGTCTATATGCTCCCATTCTTGCAACAGTCATTATCAAATGTTTTTAATGCAATCTTGTTGGCAGTGATTAAAAACACTTTATGCATTTATTTGACTTTAATAATTATTAATTCAAATTCATCATGCAGTTAATGAATAATATGGTTAAAATTAAACGTTTCTGATAATATAAAAATGTATCTGCAAAATATGCTCAGATTCATATCGCAGCATGCACAGTAGTATACATAATTTTACTGGATGACTTTTTGTGTTTCCAAATTATAAGGAAAATTAATATGAACTTACAAAAAGCTGAAGAAAATCCAAAAATAATAAAATGAAAGAAATAATAATGAATGAAAGAAAATGCTGCTGAGTTAAACTAGATGTCACTGCAGGTATGGATTTAATGGTTATATTTTAAGAATATTTTTATTTATTGATTTATTTTTTAAAGAAAATTTTTTTGTATCTTTTATGCATGCACACTTGACATTTTTTCATAATAAAACGTGTGGAAGGTTCTGATTCTTAATTTCATTTCGGCACTAAAAAATACCTCCATATTGAAGAAACATTCAATTATTAGCATAAATCTATATGATCAATAATTTGACTCCACGGTCGCCTTTCTGCTTGGCATATATCTTAATTGAAACAGTGTTGATTTTACATTTTACTGAATAGCTTATCTCCTTGATGCTAACCAGGTGGATCATTATTTATTCTTTGCTTTTGTAACTGCATGATATCAACACATGACAGCTTGAGAAATGACTTCACAAGGATATCGAAAAATTTAGTAACTCAATACCAAAGAGCGTGCTAACTTTTCTGTTGACATTATGCCTGGCAATGATTACAGACTTCAGCTAACTGTTCTGTGAAGTGTTGAGTATAATGATGAGGAGAAATTTAACTGAAATTTCTTTTACATATGCAAAAAATAGATTTTTATAAATGAGAGTCAGAGATTACATTTTATGCTGTTTGAAGTAATGATACCTGATTTGTTGTGCAGATAAGCCTTAAGTGTATGCGGGAATTTATTTATTCAGGACTGAGATAAGCCTTAAGCTTATGTGGGGGAAAAATGTAAGTATAATAAATAACTATAATCCTGGCTTAACATGTCCAGAGTGCATTAAAAGCAAGAGAAAATTTAGGTAACAGCACCTCTTTAGTTGCCAGTCTTCTGATATATCCGCCAGTAGTGTTTAGCAAACACTAGCTAAGCTTTATGATATTGCAAACAAAGGTGAAATTTTCCAATTAATGGAATTTATGAAGAAGTGCTAATAAATGAAGATGATACAAGAAGTTTTTCATTGCGGTGACAATGCCCCAATTAACTAATTGATGCTGAAATTCGTAGTATGGGTCTAAATCCAAAAAATATGGTACCGATAGTGAAAAAAATAGCAGAGATGTTATTGAGAATGAAAAAATGTCAGCTGACAGTTTGATGGGAATTCTGGACATGACAATTACAGGAACAACGGAACTTTGTAACTGAACTAGAAATTACACCTATCTATAGAATTAACCAGTTCACCGTCCTGGGGAATGCAAAAATTTCGTACCATTTTTCTCCTGCAAAAATAAATTTTTTGTGTCCCAAACTGGCCTCAGACTCTTTCTTTCCCCCCTTTCACCAGCTGTGAAGCTGTCTTTAGAAATTCTATTCAAATCAACTTGACAGCGTACTTGTCACACTCAAGCACACAGAATACGGACCCCCTGACGAGGACTGTAAGCATAAATACTGGTGTATCACTTAGATCAGATATTTATCGCTTTCACTTCTTGTAGGAACCTCAAATCTATTGCAATCTCTTACAATGTAAATGAAATTTTTAAATGACAGGTTTGTTCATTGGAGTAAAAATAAATTCATTAGCTAGTATTGCCTATTTGAAATATCCTTAATTTTTTATTATTTTCTGATGCCGTAACAAACTAATCATCGAATTATTCCCGTATATTTTTAATATTTATTTAAATTTATTTTTTTTTCCCATGAAAAAAATCTTGCTAAGAATTTAGGTCTGATTTAAATGGCATTACTTAACTTATAGGTTTTTAGGTTCTTTACTTTTCCTATCAAGAAAGTTTGAATATGCAAAACACCAATTTCAAAGATAAAAGTAGTATCGTTTTTCAGTTTTCTTGATAAAATTGCTAGACAGTGCACTTCTTTTTTAAATTAGGCTGAATCCAACCTAAAACAATAAATTTAGCTCAATTTTTTAAAACATTCTTATTTTTAATATGTAACTGCTGCAACTATCTTTATAATCCGTTAATATTCCTTTTCTAGCTTCATAAGTAATGGCTTCAAGATTGCCTCGAGACTACCTCTTAAAACCTTTTAGTGTCCTTAAATAGTGGAGCGAACCTAATCCTTATTATTTCAAGGTTTGTTATGTAGGTTAAAATATCAAGCATTCTCATTATAACCCATATTTTAAATGTTATAATAACTAAAAAGCGGATTCCATTTGTAATAGAATTCAACACTTATAATTTTTAATACTATTTAAGTGTTAACATAATCTGTAAGTATTAAATAAATAATGGACTATCATAACAAATTATACATTGTAAATACCAAACTTTATTCTTATTTACATATTTCTATACAACTTTTGTAATCGTATAGAAAATGTAATAAGAATAAGTCTGTAGTTTTCTCTCATTAATTAAAATTTATTTTAAAAATATAAAAGTATCGATTGAAATTTAAAATATTAATGAATAATAAAGTTTAAAATTAATTTCGAAAATTTTCATTTCACCAATGTCATTCATAATTGAGCAACATAGTCATAATGAAACTTAAAAATGATAAATTTCCATGTGTGCAGGTAGTGATAATAAAATGCAGTATTAAATTAATTCTGCCCTTGCCACGGTGAAACGGCTTTTCCAGTTCTGTGTCTGTGCTAGCGATTTCTCTCCCGCTGCTGCCCCTGTTCTTCTGGCCTGTAAGGCAATAACGGCCATCTGCGGGTGTGGTTCCTCGTAACGACCACTACTAAACCCCAGATGCTGTTCCTGTAGTTTGAAATTGTCTCCAAGTCGTGAAACGATGCTGTGAGCATTCTGAACTCTGCAGCCACACTTGCACACTGCGGCCTGCCTCCACTTCCGATGATTCGACCTCAGTAAAAGCATCAGATGGTCGTCTAACAGATTGATTAATGCTTTCATTCTCGCTGAGGCAGCACTCGTCGATTTTAACTGCTATAATACGGCGTGCAATCTCTTTGCCAGAAATACTGATCTTACACCGACAACATGCTTTATACTACTCAGACGCTCCCCCATTACGTCTACCTACATATCTGCGCATGTCACACTGTACATCACCTTACTTAATCTCCTGTTTGGTCTTTCTGTCCGCTCTGCCTCTTCGTTCAGCTGATATGCTAATTTTTCGACTTCATCCTTAATTTTTGCAAACCAGTGTATGTACACTACATTGGCGTGTCAAATTTTAAGTTCTTAAATTATGCAATATCAGTTTTTAATTCTGAGATGATCTTTATTCTCCAGGTTCCTAAATTTCATCTTGTATGATGCCTTCTCAATTTTTGCAAAATTTAATTAATTTTTGGCAACCTTGAATTGCATGCATTTTAGGTTGTACTATTTAAATATAAGTATTTTTCTTTTGCAGAATATTTGTTAACTTAAAACCCATACTGACTCAAGTTATGTCACTTAGGAACTTTGTAATATCCATTTTATAATGAATTATTTAAATTAATTTTTGCCTGAATTTCCCCCCAAATTGAAATTATCTAGTTTTTACCATTAAATTTACATATGCAGTGAACCCTTTTGTAATGATCATCTCTTTAAAATGACTGTCTCTGAAAGTGATAAACATTTTGAGAGCATGAATATAGAGGATCACATTAAAAGTATAATTTTTAACATTAAATTTACATTGCAGTGAACCTTTTTTTGTAATGATCATCTCTTTAAAATGGCTGTCTCTGAAAGTGATAAACATTTCTGAGAACATAAGTAATATAGAGGATCATATTAAAAGTATTAATGTCACATTTTTAAAAATGACCATGCCTATGGAAGATAAAATAGCATGAAATCATGGGTGGTCACTATATACTATATAAAATTGTGTTTTTGTAAATTTTATAATTTTTAAAAAATCCTTCTAGCTGCCTCCTTTTATTGCTCAAGATGGTATGACAAATTGAAAAATTGTCATGAAAGTGATCATATTGGCATGCATAATATTTTGGAAGGTTTCAGACTCAAAGTAAGTAGAGTTTGAGATTTATTAATTATATTTTGAATAACATATATTTGTAAGTACATGCCATTGATAAAAGTGTTTATATTGTGTATATAAAAGCTGTTTAATGTTTTTGTATATTCAGTGATCAATAAATGTGTAGAATTCTGGTATTATTGTATAAATGGAGAATCAATTTATACGGTTTATGCTGAGAGAGTATAAGTAATAAAAGTTATATATATATAAGTAATACTGTAAATAATAAAATTCTCATATATATATATAAGTAATAAAAATATAAGAAAGAGAAAATAAATAGAATTTATATATCAACTAAGATTGGTAAACTGGATGTACTGCAAAAGAAAAATAATCAATGAGAATGAATTTATACAAAATTTAAAATAATTTTTTATCTAAGAAAGTTCAAAGAATTTTTAAAAAATTTTTTAAAGCTTTCATCAAAATATAACCTGCCATGATATTAAGTACATAAAAGAATATATATGTATTTAATATCTGGTTGTAACTAAAGTTTTCTGCCAGAAAACGTTCTTAATAAAGTTAAGGGGGTAAAACATGAAAGCAGTACCTTTAGTGTGGGTAGGAATCAGTACCCAAATCTAAGATTTTCTGCCAACGTTTTGGTAGTTTTTCAAGGCCTTCGGCCCAGAAACTTGGTGGCCACGAGTCCAAAAGCTGATCAACCTCATTTCGGACGCCCTGTGCAGAATGGAAGATAGCACCGGTAAGATGTAGGTGCAGGTGTGAAAAAAGGTAGAAATAAAAAAAAAAAAAAAGGGATGTTCCTCGGGGCTATATTCCAATCGAGTCTGTAGAGTCCAGCCGGTGAATACAAACACGTGTGGTCTTGCATTATCATGATAGAACATTGCCTTTTTGCGCCGAAACTCAATTCGACGTTTGTCCCCTGATCCCTGTACGTGTAGATTGCTCGTCATGAACGAGCCATCGAAGATGGATCAAAAGTGACAGTCGGGTCCAGAATTGTGACATTACGTTTCGTTTGACAGAATTCGAGCAGATTAGTTCAGGCCCGAACACACTTGTCCTTATCTGCTTGAGTCAGCTCATGCGGCACCCAGCAATGAACTTGTATGTCAAGTTTATGCAACCCATAGCGCGACTGATGGCATGTCACTAACATGTAACTCCTTAGCGAGCTCTCGAGTGGTTCCATACTGATCTTCTTCCACAAGTTCTTATAGATGGGCCTCATTTACATCAGGAGGCCAGCCAGAGTGCTGTGTTTCTTGAATATCATAGTCCTTGTGTTTGAATTTTTGGTACCAAACCTTCACAGTGTCATATGATACAGCATTAGTGCCTAAAGCTGTATACATGATTTGGTGACATTCTGTAGCTGACTTTTTGCAACAGAACTGAAAGATGATGGTTCTAATCTAGCATCATAGTTCCATTTCAGACACCTTGTAGTTAATGATAATGATATTATTTTACAAATTTCACGACACAGTGTTTTAAAACAAGTCCCTTTCTTTCAAATTCCAAGAAACGTTTGACAGAATATGATTTAACATGCCAACGCGACCTGTTTGCGCAAGCGATGTTTTCAGTGGCAGAAAACTTTCGTTAAAACCCGATATAAGCAAAAATTATAGTTATAAAAAAAAATTAAATACAAAGGATTTAATGGGAAAAAGGCAATATATGTAAATTTTGAAAGAAGACAAAAAATATTTTAAAATTAAAAGTGGCAAAAGTACAAGACAAGTTGTATAAGTTAATAAGAGAAAGAAAACTGGAAAAACCAAAATTACAGAAAAGGCAAAATTGCCTAAGTATGTAATGTGTAATATGCAAAAATTTGTTAAATAGAAGCCAACGAAGAATGTTTTAGAAGATGTGCCAAGATCAAGCAGAAAAGTATGATGGTGAAAACCAAAGTAAAATCAAAAACTAAATGCTGTTTTTCTAAATTTAGTTTTTAAATTTTAAATTTGAAAATAAACTGAAAATAGCCAATAAACAAATCCAAAATGGTGGAACGAATGTGGTAATTTTTTTTTTACTCCTCTGTGTGGCATGACTGCATTTATTTAGACATATTTTATTGCTTAGTATTTGTTAGTTAAAAAATATTTTATTTTCTTACTTTCTGTAATTCCCCCTTCCTTCAACTATCATCTTAATGAAAATATAGATTAAAGTATGTAAGTATACAAATTTATCTAATAAAGGCTATTTAAGTATAGATCAGATCTAAAATTCTGTACCATTCAGAGGTGTAAGTAAAAGTGCCAAATATCACAAAAAAAGATACATTGATGAAAACCAAAGTAAAAAAAAAAGCAAAAGGCAAGCAAGCTAAATAACCAGAATTAAATTTCACAATTAAGAAGAAAGTGAAAATAGTTAATAAGCTAAATGGAAATATTTATTTTTCCAATACAGTGTCTTGGAAAAGGAAAAGCGAAAATACTTTTTTAAAAAAAGCAGGCAAAATTAAAACTATGAAAATAAAACATTTATATAAATTAAATGGACTTGGTGGTGAAATTGAAAACAACTTTACCTTCTAAACTTCCAAATTAGAGTGTTTGAATTAATATGAATCTTCGTACATCATACACTTGTATAAGTGATGAAAGCAATTATTAAATAATACCAAGCAATTATTGAATGAAGCAATATTGGCTTTAATTATTTGCATATAAATATAAAAAGGAATCTTACAGTTTTCCCCCTGATATTTTAGGCTATTCAAGATTTGAATACTTTGAAAAGGTTACTACAAAAAGCAGAAACTGACCATTATTCATTATACAGGTTAGTATTAGATCATGATTGTTGTAAATGAATATGCAACATATTAAAAGTTGTTACATGTAATGATTAACAACTGTATTCTGCACTAAAGGTGCATGCTTAGTCATGCTGAAAATTGCTATTTATTTCAAATGGATGACACTTATTTGCATCAAATTTTAAATTTCAGGGCCTACCAGTTTTTGAAGGCTAGTGGCTATGATGATGTTCTGTTGCATCATGTGAAACGGGAGGTAACTGTAACTGGAGAAGAAGAAGCTCTCGAAATAATTGCATGTTTGCAAGATTTTATCAAGAACAAGAAATCAGGACCAAATCATTAGATGACTATATATTACTACATGTGTATTATTGTCGTAACTTGATAGATTTATTTTATATATTAAATTTTATAAATAGTTTCTTGCCTTTGTGCATATAGAAATCTGATGTTCCACTTATTTAACTTATTAAGAAGGGGGTGGGTAAAGGTTATACAGTAAATCCTCTCACTGTAACTGTCTTCTTAAGATAACCACCTATGAATATGATATTATTTCAGAGAATATAAATAAACATTGTATATTAAGCATTACCTTTCTAAGACGACCACCTTCACTGAAGGCCAAAATCATCTTGAATTTATATTAGGGAGAATTTGCTGCATTTTTATCTGCAATTTCAAGTTATTTAATTTTAAACATGGGGATGTTTTGTGGGACACCCTGTAAGACTAATTTTTTTTTTTTCTTTAAAGAGATGATTTTTTCTTTTCTCATTCAAAAATAGCATCATTCTCACCTTGTATTATTAATGAAAAAGTTAAAAAAATGTTCATCTTAACAGAGAAATTTTTTTTTAAAGTTATACGAATTCTGTAGCTTTTCCTTTCTTTCCATTAATTATTAATAATGCTGTATGTATTTTACAGAAGTTTCTTTTTTTTTTTTTTCATTTCCCCCCCTCCTACTTATAAAATTTGCAGTTCGATACTTAAGGACCCCATTCCAGATATGAATACCCGATATATCTACAGTATTCCTTTACGATATGACCAGAGTCGTAACTAGGGAGCTTCAGATTTCGCACCCCCTCCTGTTGGTTTAGAATGGAAAAAATTTAATTCTAACATCAGATTTCCTCCTTTGCCCCCATCTAGCTATGCCCCTGGATATGGCTAAATTATATATTTTAGTCAAACGAAGAAAACCTTGAAATTTTGCATTAAAGAGCATGAGAACTATGTTCAGAAAAAAGACACTTATAAATCCTCATTGTTAGTTAAAAAAAAAAAAAGATGGATTTTTTCCCCCTGTAACCAAAATTATTCAGAAAGATTATTATTATTATTTCTCAGGCTGAGAAAAAATCTGCTGGATTCCAGTTGGAAAGCCTGTTAAATTATACCCATTTTTTATACACTTCATTTAAACATATAAACATTGTATATTAAGCATACATAGGTATATATAGGTAATTTTCTTGAATTATTTAAACTTAATTAACTAATCTCTCAAAGTAAATTGAAAATGACATAAAAAATTACAAGTTTTGAAATTAAACATCCTGGTTACTTTTTGTGATATGGAAGTCAAACTTCTAATTTTATTTTTTCATTCCATTGGCAAATCAAATAAATATCCTGGAGATGTTTCTCATTTATAAAAATATTTCCTTTCTCTAGAACCTTCTCGAATTTTTTGTCTATTGTTATGGTGTAAGTACATTTCTCAGTTGTATGAAAATACGTTTTTCAGGGGTAGGATCTCAAACTCAGGTGCAACAGGTAGTCACAGCTAACTGATCAGTAGAAGGACAGCGGAAACGAGCGATTGTTTGGTAATATTTTATATTCCTAATTAGTCCAAAGGGACAATTTGCTGAGAAGGGCTATTAACTTTGTTTTGCCATTTTGTGTCGGTTCACTTTTCAAATTGTTACCACCAAATATTAGAGCCCTGCATTATACTTAAAGGAATTAAATAATGAGGAATCTGCCTGAATGTATCTAATGTTTCTCTCACTGTGAAAAAACAATGGTACCTAGAGACATCAAATTAAATTTTGAATAACGCATTCGAATATGGGCATCTCGAAGCCCAAATTTGGAATCTCGATTTTGATTTTACATTATTCTACAGGTTCTTGGATCTGTAGTGATTGGTTGACAACACTTAATGAAGAATCAAAACACAATTTATTTGTCAGTACAGGACAATTCCAAAGACACGTTACAGTCGTCAAACGGTGAAGACAAATTCACACAAAGCACTACAGTACTGCTCCCGATTCGGTCGATTGCTCTCAAGATTATCTCAAACACTAGTACTGAATCAAGATATTCTTCACGATAAAACTCTTGATACATTGCTACCCCACGTACAGGCATGGTATTTATAGCTTTTGACCTGCCCTCGAGAACATTTTTGGGAAAACTGGTAAGAATTTCATTCTAGAATGCCCTCGCTCTGTCTATGGCATATCGGCAATTTTGTCACCAAATAGGTGATTTCGCACCAAACCTGGCAACCCTGCCTTTCTTACCATTTTCTGGAAATCCCAAACCTGCTTTGCAGAGAACCGCAATTAGGCACTTTGCAACAATATTCCTTTATTTTATATTAAAATTTTCTTTTATTAGGAAAGCAGAGAGTGCCTGAAAGTGTTTCTGCTAAGATTAGGGGTCATCTGCAGAGTTTAGAGGATAAGGTCACAAGAAGATTTTAAGAAAATTGGCCCATAAATTCAATTTCTTTCCTTATCCCATCATTGCTGATATTGATACAGTACCTGGGAAGCTGCAGTTTGAACTTACTGACATGTATCCAGATCACACTATATGTTATGAAACCACGAGCTGATAGATCGAGGACGCTGACTAACAGTGCTCGAACAATGTAGATGTTTTTGAAAAAAATAAACAGTTGAGAACTGAATAATGGAAAAAATGGTCCTATGTAAAAACAAATGAAGAACTTTAACGAATTTTTTGGTGATGTAAATAGATTGTAATAAAGTTTGTTCTAATAGCTTCTCATTATTGGATTTGGTAAGATCTACCCGGCAGCCAGATTGAAGGTAAGTACAAAGTAAATTCGATTTATTAATTTGATATTTTGTATTTTTGCAAAGCCGTGACATTAGTTGACTTTTAGAAATCTTTTTCTGCTGAAAAATTTCCTTGTATGAAGAAATTTGCTGGGAAAACTTTGGTATTTGGGTCTACATATATTTGTGAGCAGAGGCTTTCTTGCTTGAAGATCAACTAAAGTAAATATAGATTCTCTTTTGACAAAGATTAACTGGTAAGCTGTGATGAGAATCTCAATTACCACACACTCCTGATTTAAGAAAGAAAAGAAATTCTGAAATGTTTCTGATTTTAAATTACGTCCAAAGGGGCCTTTTTTTTTAACATTTTGTGTGTTACATTTATTTATTAAATGTTACGTTCTTCGCACTTAAACGATAAAATTAAGTTCAACAGCAAAATATCGCAAAATAGTTTTAAAATGAGGATATCTTTAGAATTTCCGGTACAGAGACTCACGCGCTGAAGATAAAAATGTTTTTTCTGTACAACGTTGCCATTGCTCGCTTTGAAATTCTTGAGTTTGTTAATAAAAAATTCGTTAAAGTTTTACAAAATAGAAAATCGATAATAAAACAAATTTTAAATTTGGTCTTCCACATGCCCATATTCGTAAGAGGATTACGTCATTCAAAATTCGATGGCTTTATGTACCGTTGTTTTATCACAATGCGAGAAATGTACGTACGTTTATGCAGATTTTTCATTATTTAATTTCTTTAAATACAGGGCGATAATACTTTGTGGCAACAGTTTGAAAAGTGATTCGCCGTTTGTAGTCAATCAACGCAAAATCGGAAAACGAAACCACTAGTCTTTCGGGGACAAAGGCCCTTTGGACTAAAAATCTGAAAGGTTTCAGATTTTAAATTACGTCCAGAGGGACTTTTTTTTTAACATTTTGTGTGTTACCTTTACTTATTAAATATCACGTTCTTTGCACTTAAACCATAAAATTCAGTTCAACAGCAATGTCGCAAAATAATTTTAAAATGAACATTTTTTTTAGAATTTCTGATAGTTCCGCGCGCTAGAGATAAAAAGGTTTTTCCTCTCCCCCTCCCGTAGGGTGCTGCTATTGGTCGCTTTCAAATCGTTGAGTTTGTTAATCAAAAATTCGTTAAAGGTTTACAAAAATATGAAGTCGATCATAAAACAAATTTAAAATTTGGCTTTTCAGATGCCATATTCCCAGTAGGATTACGTCATTCAAAATTGGATATCTCTATGTACTGTTGTTTTATCACAATGCGAGAAACATACATACATTTATGCTGATTCTTCATTATTTAATTTCTTCAAGTATAATACAGGGCGACAGTATTTGGTGGCATCGATTTGAAAATTGATAAACCGTTTATAGGGTTTCCGACGCAAAACGAAAACAGTAGTCCTTAAGGGACAAAGCCCCTTTGGACGAAAAAAACCATAGGATATAAAACTTTGGATATAAAATACTCGACTAAAAAGTGTGACGTATATTTGTCTCATAAAACTCATTCTAAAGTTAAATGTGCAGTCATAGTACATATTGGTATAGATGATATGAAACTAGCAAAGTAAATTGAATAAAACTGCAGCTATTTTCGGTTCAAAGGGGCCCTGAAGGACTATTGTTTCCGTTTTGCGATTTTGCTTTGGTTCTCTATAAAAGTCCGTATATTTTTTCAAAGTGTTGCCAATAAATGTTAGAGTCCTGCATTATATTTGAAGAAATTAAGTAATGAAAAATTTGCATAAATGTATGTATATTTTTGGCATTGTGATAAAACAACGGTACATAGAGCCATCGAATTTTGAATGACGTAATCCTACTGCGAATATGGGTATCTGGAAGCCCAAATTTGAAATTTGGAATTTATTTTTATCAATTTCGTATTTTGTAAAACTTTAACGAATTTTTGGTTAACAAACTCAAGGATTTTAAAGCGAGCCATAGCAACGTTGTACAGAAAAAACATTTTTATCTCCAACACCCGAGACTGTATCGGAAATTCTAAAGATATGTTCAATTTAAAACTATTTTGCGATATTGCTCTTGAACTGAATTTTATGGTGTGTGAAGAACGTGATATTTAATAAATAAAGGTAACTGTCAGAATGTTAAAAAAACGACCCTTTGGCCGTAATTTAAAATCTGAAACCAAATTGGCTTCTTTTTATTATATTTAATTTATATTCATTTAATTTTATGGTGAAATGTGTACCTTTTCTGAATTAAAAAGTTAACTAATGGATGCAGTCGTTTTGAAAAGTGCGGCCGGCCGCTAAACTCCGCTTCCACTATGTAGCTCTCGAGCCAAAACATTTACCCAGCTCTACTGTAGGGAACACGTCAGCGCATTTCGCAGGAATATCTTGGAAACGTATATATGCAGTACCTGTATCAGTCTTCAGTTTTAAGGACTGCAGTCGTACTTTTCGAATTGTCATTTGTTGCTTTGTCTTCATGAAGTTTCACTCTTTGGAAGTCATTGGGATAAAGAAATAGAATTTCTTCTCTAAAAATCGGACGTAAATCGTTTTCTTTATAAAGTATTTCTTCGCCTTCGTGGTGTAGTGGTCGGCACACTCGGCGCGTATTCGAGAGGTCCGTGGTTCGAGTCCCAGCGAGGGCATTGCTGCTCATTTTTCATGTTTTCTGCTTCGAAATAACTTGATGACTCTACATCTTGATAGTGCATTGAATTGATTTTAACATTTTCCCCCAGTTTTCTTATTTTTAATTTTCCATTATAAGAGAACCTTGTAGCAATCATAAAATCCTTACTAAAACTGTCTACATTAACGGAACTAAGTTCGTATATTATTTCTCTTAGTTTTCGATAATAAATAGACCTTTTCGTATGGCAGTCATTTAGGTAAGCTAAACCACTCTTTCATCAAGGGTTACAATGTACTTTCGTTTAGCCCCTGCTAAATAGTTTTCATACAAGGTTCTGCAAATTGTTCTGGTTGAGCAGCATGTCTCCGGAAGTGTTGGTGAACATCATATTTTTATCATTTTATATTTGTTCTTACGACAGATGTATTTAAGGACTTTGCAACTGTTTTCTTTGCCGGTGGATTTTCTCTTTTTTAAATGATTTAACTTAAGAAACATTAGAAACTTATCTTATCTCTCTTGGGTTAATCGCTTGAAGTTTTCTTTCCATGTTAAAATAACGACCGACAGTTTTTCCCTTACCAATTAATAATGTTACTTATTTTGCACTTAGGAATTTTAATACCGTGCTTTCCATAATATTTTTGAATTATGGAATAGCAATTCCTTTCCGGAAAGCGTAAAAACGTATCCTTCAATCCACAGCTTGTTTACATGCTACATTTTTAAAAGAGAGATAAATTTGAAACAAGCGAACGATTTTTCTCATTTCAAATAGTTGCTGGAAATTTTTATTCCGAAGTATTTGCTTTTGTTTAATTCTTTATGGAAGTCGTTCTAAAAATGTGTAAAAACATCGTGTGTACTTCTTATATTAATATTAGCATTCTCTTTGTATTATATGAGTGTTATTTATAAAAAAAATGCACGTTTTAACGTTTTTATTTAAAATTTATAAATTATTGAATTAATTTTCTGAAGACAGTAATTTATTATTGTTATTATTATTATTATTATTTCCAGTTGCTAGGCAGAAAGTTACAAAGAACTAAAATCTTACAAGCAAGAGAACTAAGAACGAAAAGACCGAAATCATTGCCTAAAGAGCGCTCTTACCTTCCAGTATCTCGAATGTTCTGTAAGACCACGATGAGCCCCACATCGAACGAGATGGTCCCTGTCCGTTTCTTCTCCAGAATTACAAAGTGGGCAAATAGGATCACTTAAAATGCCTATGCGGTGCAGTTGGGCGCATAGGTATTTTAAGTTCTATGCGCTACTATATTACCTATAGTAGAGGTGGGTAAATGTTCTATCTACAGGACATGATGCAAGGCAATCATGTCCTGTAGATAGAAGGAAAGCCGCAACTGCATTGCGTCTTGGACTATCGGGAATAAGAGAAGGACTTACCATTCTCCAACTTTTTAGCGCTGTACGAGTCTGAAGATCTCGTAAGATATTAGACGTAAATCAACTTTTTAAAAACAGTTTAATCCTGCAATAAGAAATGGCTGTATTAGGATGTTGTGGTAAGCTGGTACCTCTTTTTGCAAGTAAGTCCGCTTTTTCATTGCCAGAATGGCCAGGCACTCACTAGAGAACGATTTGTTCCCCCTTCATTGTGAGAGTTCTCCGGAATTCTCGACACTTCAAAATTTCAGATGTTAATGGGTGTTCAACAGAGCTAATTGTTTGAATGGCTGCGTGAGAATAATAATAATAAAAAAAAAATGACTGCCTTTGCAAACTTGTAATGAATAGCTAATAATTGCTGTAGGGCTATACAAATGGCTACTACTTCATCGTCAAAGGAGGTACTAATGTCTCCTGCAGGGGCGTAGCAAGGAAAAAAAGATTCGAAAACACACCAGCCTCAACCTTAAAAAATAATAGTCAAACTGAGAACCATCAGTAAAAATGTTCAGCCATTGAACAGGTGGATATCTAGTCGCAATGGTCTCCAAAGAGAGACATTTCAAAACGCTTGGTGCAGCATCTCTCTTTGGATGATTTCGGCTAGGCCTAGCATTTACTTCGACATTAATGACCTCCGAAGGGTTTCTGGTTGTCAAGAGAGGCTGTATATTACCTGGAATTTCAAGATCTTTCTTCATGTCCAGGATTTTCTGAATAGATCCATATTGAGTTTTTAATTTCCTGGGCTTCACTGCGTAATCCCTCCAGTAGGGATCCTCCATCCGCAGCAGCTTTTCATAGAGAACCAAGGCACTCATTTTCATAATATCCCGGAAGGGTTTATTTCCTATTAACAATAACATCGCATCGATAGGTGAGGTCTTCACAACTCCTGTAATCAAGCGAAGAGCGTAGTTTTGCATCACTTCAAGTTTATTAACCACCGATTGTGGAGCAGTGATGAGAGCTTCGAAACAATACGTCATCAAACGCGGGATATAAGTATTAAATGTAATGTCATGAGTGGACCGAGCGCACCCCCAAATACACCCTTCTATACACTTCAGAATACTAACATAAGTCTATTTGAAACACGTTCGGTAAGCTGCTTAACATGAAGCTTCCAACTTAAACTCAACATGAAACTAATTTATTATCAAAAGTCATTCTCAGATAAGTAAAGTTGTCCATGTTGGTAATCAAAGTATCTTGGTATTTTAACTATGGGCAGTGTAGACAATACGTAGTAACATTGTAACATTGATTTTAAAATATTGCAAAAATTATGGTATTATTTTCTATAATTACTTGTTTTGAACATAGATGTATACAGATTCAGCTAATCTGAATGTGTATAGTGGCATGCATTTACCTCTTTCCCTCAGGTGATAAAATACCTAGCCACGGCTCTGCGAACACACCGCATTTCGATTATGTAACTCCTGTCTTTCTAAAAGAACTAAGAACAGAAGAGAGAGCTTGACAGATCAAAATTCTATCAGAGTGGACAATTTGAATGAAAAAAGGAAGTTGTGCTTATTCATGTGTATATTAGTACGTTAGTGATTCTTGCATCTTTTAAGAACACAGTAACCAATAAATAAATAAAATAAAATCTAAAAGCTTTCAGATTTTACATTACGCCCAAAGGGACTTTTTTTAACCTTTCGTGTGTGTTACCTTTATTTATTAAATATCATGTTCTTTGTACTTAAACCATAAAATTCAATTTATCAGCAATATTGCAACATAATTTTAAAATGAGCGTATCTTCAGAATTAAAATCGTTGAGTTTGTTAATCAAAAATTCGTTAAAGTTTTACAAATTATAAAATAGATAATAAAACAAATTCCTGATACCAAGTTCGGGGCTTCCAGAAGCCCATATTATAGTGGAGGGCAACTTATTGAAAATTATAAGTCTTTAGGTGCCGATGTTTTTCGCAGTGTGCAAATTCTTCATTATTTAATTTCTTTAAATATAATACAGGTTTCTAATATTTGGTGGCAACAATTTGAAAAGTGAAACGCAGTTTTATAGTGAGTCAACGCAAAATGCCAAACAAATTAATCATCCTTCTGAGCAAATTGCCCCCGCCCCCCAAAAAGGGAACGAAAGAAAATAAAACATAATTAAGACTATATAATGTTATAAAAAGTATGGAGCATGCTAGCATTGGAAAATCTGTAATTCTAATTCTTACGAAGGCACAGTTAATTTTTTACGTTTCTAATTCCAAAATATCTATATACCTGCATGTCATTTTTCTCATGACAAATATCTAAGCAGAGTCACTATACTTGGCGTAGAGCCACAAAATCTTTTCCCGTACAATAAATTGACTTTTAAAGAATTCCACATGTTGCACAAAAGTAAATGGGTCCCATAACTAATAAAGAAACGTTGGTATGAGGAACTATAATTTATGTTATAGAATTTTATCGCCTTTTAATCTAGAAAAAAGAAAAATTAGTAGCGGTGATGTACAGTATTGTTATGAAAAGCCCAGCCTCGGTAAGGTTAAGGCTTCTATATACCAGGCTGAATCATCCGCCATTCGGGAGCCCAAGGGGGAATATCAATGGCGGCTGATAGTTAGCGGTGCAACAATTTCTTGTGCTTTTTTTGCATAAAATGAGCGGATGTGCAGGTATTAATTGCTTAAATCATTCACGGAAAAGTTGTATGTGAGTAAAATTTCTTAAAAATGAAGGAAAAAAAATTGGATAAATAATTGCCAAAGAGATAATTGTGAACTTGGTTCAGGCGCTCATCTTTGCCTAGTATGTATAATATTATTTACTCCTTCATTTAGAGTTAAAAAAAAAAAAAAAAGAGACACACCAAGAACGAGTTATCTGAATGGGACGAAAATCGGTAGAAGTGATGTACATGTACAGAAAAACAAATTATTACAGTTTGAGAAAAATTGGATGATTTATTGAAGTGATAGAGCTTTACAAAGAGAAAATGTCGGTAACCCGTTTGTCCACCTCTGTCAAGCAAGCAGTTATTCGGTTAAAGCGTATGCAAGCAGTTATTCGGCTTGGCCGATTGATAGAGTTGCGGATGTCCTTCTGCGGGATATCGTGCCCATTCTGTCCAACTGGGCGTTAATCGTCAACATCCCGAGCTGTTAGAGGCTTGCCCATAATGCTACAAACGTGCTCAAACGTACTCGACCTTGATGGCCAAGGTAATGTTCGGAAGCACTCAAGCAAGCAGTAGAAACCATGTGCAGGTGGGGGGGGCATTATCTTGCTGAATAAGCCCGGTGGCGTGACATGAAGGGAACACAACGGGCTTTAGAACTTGTCGGCTGTGCTGTAAGGGTGACGGTGAACAAAGGGGTCTACTATGAAATGGAATGACACCCCAACCATCACTCCTGGTTGTCCCCTGTCTCCGGAAGACAGGTTGGTACACCCACTTCCGGGCGTCTCCAGACTCGCCTTCCTGCTCGTGGCTCGTTCAAAGCGGGACTCATCTGAACACTATTCTACTCCACTCAGTGACATTCCAGTGCGAATGAGCCCGACACCACTGCAAACGGGCTTGACCTTGTGCGGAGATCAATGGTAGTCGGCGCAAGGGGCGCCGTGACCTCAGCCCCCTTTTTGTGAGCCGTCTATGAATGGTCCTCGAAGTCACTGAAACATTAGTTGCACGTACAATCGATGATAATGATGCATCTGGGGCTGTGAATGCCGCTCTGACAATTGCTCGGTCTTCACGTTTTGTCGTTTCTCTAGGCCTACCCGCTTCCTTCTTTACGCTGTGTGCGACCATGGTTCACCCATTCCTGCCAACATCGTCTAATAGTGGCATCGCTTCTACTCAAATGTCGAGCTATTCGCCGATAAGACCAACCGCCTTCTTTGGGCCCACTACACGACATCTCTCAATCACTACACGACAATCATGTCATCGGTTCAATTTAGGAAACCACTTTCCTTATTTGGACCGCTAGTTTCCTAAATTGGACCATGAGCTTTCTTAACGGAAATTACAACAAAAGAACCTTGTAATTGCAGCACTAACCCAGCACACGAGTATACATGGTGAGCAAAATTAAGGACGAGACGTTTTTCAATATAACTTTGTACAAAAGCTTCGAAATCACACATTTAAGACCGTAAGATCCCCGTACGTAAGGACATGAGTAATGTAAGCAACACACTACTAAAAGAAATCAGAGGATAAAAAGAAGCTTATTGAAAAAGTAGCATGGAGCGCAATGCGACTGCAGGCCGAAACATCCCTGTGATGGGTGTCCAGCAAGAACATCCGGTCTTTAATAGGGAATATGATCTCCCCTGAGTGCTAGACAGGTTTCACAGCGTCTGCCCATGTGAGAATGAGGGTGTCAAGAGTGTGACATTGCTGCCATTCGTCTTGCAGCGCCAATCGAAGCTCCGGAATCACATCTATAGAGCTCGCGCTTATCCGGGACAATCGAGAACGAGATTCTAGTAGACGGCTTTAAGCGGCAGGCTTCCGAGAAATGTTTCGTCTAGTAGGGGATCGGTCCCGGCTACGAGCAACATTTTAAAACTTTCCAAAAATGTTCCGTGTGGACGTGTTCCTCGAAGTTCAACCATCAGACGAAAGTCAGCTTCTGAAGGATCACGGGTAACTTTCATATGGCGATGGCTCTCATGTGAAGTGATGGACGTGGAAATAGAGGCCGATTTAATTATTGCTGTTTTGTTGTATACAACTGCCTGAGTCTTTTTAATGTGTATATTCATTTATATATCGTGGAAATTTCAGAGTTGACAGTATTTACGACGTCCTTGCATTCGGATTTGTTTACAAAGTGTTCGTAGCCAAAGTTCGCCAAATTTGTGCTTCGTTGTGATCGTGTATTATAACATTGCTAAGAATGGATCGGAAAGTTGAATAATGGGTGAAATACGGTTTGTCTAATACTTTCTTTTCATTGTTATCATTAAGGTAACCAAAGCAGTACCGGTGTAAAAATAAAAGATGCAGGAAATAAAGCGAGCAGGAAATATGAATACTCCGTTGTTATGATTTTTGGATGAAAAGACATTACACAACGATCCTTATGTAATGCGAATATTGAAAAGGTAGGAGTTATTAGGAGGCGTGAGAAACATTGGTAGAGACATCATTATAGAAAATTCTTACATTAATATATAAATATATATACAACTTCGAAAACATCGCATCCTCGGCTGTATGTAATAATCTGACTTCGAGTGTATCCTTAGTAGTAGATACAAAATGAACATTCCAAGAGTTTGTTGAAGTACTTTTAATTCGAAACATCTGTAATGGCAGCAATATAGTTATCGTTCTTTGCAAATTAATGGTATGTATAATCAGTTGAAAAAAATTATGAGTATTTGATTACTAAAGAGTGAACACATTTTGTTATTGGGTTAATTCATAATTATCATAGTATGATCTACGTAATAAAAACATGACTAATAAATCATAGAAATGTAACAGTGCATTTAACATTTGATTACTAAAAACGTACACATATCGCCTTCATGTCTGTTTACATAGAATTGCCTTTCCAATTAATGCACGGCCTACTAGGCCGAAGCGTCGTTGAACACTGGTATTCTGTTAGTTCGAATGCCGCGAACGGGCTGGCTACATGACGTTTCCGGGTTTGCCCCGTTTGTAAATGTATAGGCCATTTTTAAAAAATCTACAAGGGACCCTCCTTGTTATCCCTCGAGGCTGCGGATCACATAAACCAAGAGCCCACCAGCGGCCGAGCGTAAAGTCGCTGAACATGGTAGGTCGTCCGAGGTTCGAATCCCGCGAAACGGCCGGCTGCATGGACGCTTTGGGGTTTCCATGTAACGTATACGAACCATTTCCTTAGAAGTCCTCCCGAAGGCATCCTCCCTTAGGCAGTAGCCCTAGTGTGCTTTGCTGTAATCTCAAAAAAACCACCATAACAAATTGATGTGACACCTAATTCTAGAGTTGGGTATATTAATG